AGAGGCAATCAAAAGGAAATAAGCCTGATTATAGCAGAGAGCCAAAATAAAACATTAAGAGATGTTCTGTCAAAGCTGAAATACTACAAAGAACAGAGCATAACAAAGACACACTCGCACAAAAGTGAGGGCCTTGTTAGCACCTCTGGCAACACAATGTGATCTACACACAAAGCAGGCTGTCTTATTAGCTGCATTGTGTGAATCAAAGAGAAAAATGCTCCCTCTGTGCATCCTGTGCATACTCAAGAGAAGAGAGTGCGTTAGAGTATATTTTGGGAAACTGGTTGTGACTGACAGTAGCTGAAACACAGTTTTGTTTCCCAGGGCTTGAAGCCTCATACATGTCAGTGCATGTACCCTCAGCTCCTTTTATCTGTATAATCCATAGGAATGAGTCGAGGTTCATTTCACTTTTTCGTGAAAGTAAGTTAACGGGAGGCCTGTCTCACCTCTACTATAAATGAAACAATAAACGTACACTGCCTCTGTGGGGAAGGATCAGCTCAGACTGACCTTAGCTGAAGCGTGAGTGCAATCATTATGAGAATCTAGCAGGTAGGACGGAGCACTAGCATGTTTATTTGACAGAATAGCAGCACGGTGTGTCTGGATCTCTGGTTCTGGTTTGACACAGACGCTACTTTAGGGCTGCAGTGTGATGGCACGACGCAGCTTAATTCCCTGCGTTCAGTTTGCACAGTCCCACTGCCAGCAGCAGAGTGGAGGATGGGGTGAAAGGAGAAAGGAGAGGCATGTGGCAGCACAGTGCTAGTCTCACAATGAGCAAAGAGAAAACAGAGTCAGATCAGGAGACAGACAGAAGAACATTATAAAGGTAAAATCCCACCAGCTATCCAACAAAAGATAACCAGAATGACAGTGTAAGCATGGGACAAAAACAACTCTTTGCCCACAGGAGATTGACAATTATTCATTCAGCGAGCCGCTTTTGAAACTAACAAAGAGGGAACAGAAGGAGGGAGACAGGGATGCATATGGAGAGTAATGAACCTGAGAGACACAGAAGGCAGCAGAAAGCCAAAGCAGAGAGATCGGGTCAAACAGGAATGAATTCAGCGAGACTCAGCATTTTCAGTCAAATTAATGAAAACACTTTTGCCTACCCAGCTCTCTAACAAATGGCTGAGGAGAAACAAGTGTTTGGGCTGATTAATGTTTGGCTACAGCAGCAGGAGGCAAACAACAAAAAAAAAATTACACTCACACAAAAGCAAACCAGGAACCAATACTGTGGTAACCTGGTTAATATAAAGTCTGGGCTTCACTAAACTCCGGCCACACAAACAAACACTTCTCTGTCAAAAGCCTCAGGGACATGCTGATACTTCCATCACACTTCCAGTATTCCTCCTCCCTCTCAGCAAAAAAGGACTCCTAAAAATAGCTAAATTACTCATCAAACAACAGTTTCCTGGTTCTAATGTGTCCCTCCAAATCCCTTGGAGGCAAAAACAGACATCTCGAGCCCAGTAAATGTGGATGTCATTATAACTTTAATTCATCATGTGCTGGAAGACACATTAAAAATAAGGCAAGCTTTGATGTTCTACACAGTTTTCTTACATGTTCCAACAATGTTTCTGATCACCTGCTTCAGTCAATAGTAATTATAATCGTAATAGGCACTCTGTGTGCTGGCAGCTCCAACGAGAACACCACCAAAGTGTATGCACTTGAAATGAAATGATTTCTTTTTTTCTTAAGAGCGGGGCAGATACCTGAACGCATCGTGACCTAACTTTGTTTCCATCTTTCACAAGGTTTGTCTTCATTTTTCCGCATTGATGATTTCAACTTTCAGCCTGAGATGCGTGAACGAGCAAATGATTTACAGCATTCACACTGAAGCATTATCTAATTAGTCCATTAACTTAACAAGCATTGTATTAAACATAATACAAGTTTTCGATATTTCTACACCTAAAATATGTATTATGTTTTAGAAATTATACAATAGGGAGCTATAACTTGTCTATTAGATTTTTGAACTTTGCCACATTCTGATCCTGATGTCAAACTTTATCATAAATGTACATTGGCACCTTCAAAACAGGCCACCTTTCATTTTTGAACCATATTTTTGCAGGTTCCTGAGCTAAAATGACTCATGACGCCGAGCTCTAAGAAAGCTTGATAAGATGTGTGTGACAAATACTTTGAAGAAAATTTAACCCCGGCTGACTTGCATCCAAGCAGCAACATTGCTATCTAAACAGGGCAGCACTGACAGAAAGAGCTAAGAGATAAATGTGGAGACTCACAGGGACGATAGCAGAGGGGAGACTGAGGATAACATGGATGAGCAGAGGAGGAGTGGGATAAACCAAACATCTAGTGCTGCTTCAAAGGGAACGGAGAGATAAAAGACATGGAGACAGAATCTGTGTTAGATGCAGGAAAGAGACAAATTGCTAGAATGATCAATTAGGGGATCAAAAGCATGCTGGATGTCAGGAAGGGATGGAGGGACAGGGGATGAAGCAATGCTGGAGAGAAGCGATAACTGATCTGAGAGACAGTAGGACTTGGAGACTGACAGAAAGGAAGTGAAGTAGATTTTTGAAAACTCACTGCTGACTAAAGTCCCAGATTCTGCTTTGAAGTGCTACTGCCCATTACACAAACAATTTGTTTGTCAGACAGTCTTGACGAGCTCACTCTGCATGTGACCATGCACACGACAAATGCAATTAAAAAGTCCAGTTGCCTGGACTTGAAGGGAAATTGGTGTAGGACAACAGACTGGACAGTGTAGTCCTGCCAGTAATTGGTTTCATTTCTCATTAAAGGGGCGCTGTAGAAAGAGGTGAGTGATGATGGTGTGTCATCATGCTAAAATTAATTTCCCCACTGGCTTTCCTGCTTCATCTGTTGGGAGCAAATTACAAACGAAATAAACACAATACATCTAATACATGACCACTGTGAGGGAACTCATGTAAAAGACTGTTTTTCTGGGTTGAACACAATATTATCTTTATTGTGCTATTTCCAGTGGTTAACTACCCACATCCCTATAAAAACCAGCATTACAATTCAGTCATTGTACAGGGTCTGTCTCCTCTGGGCTTCTATCCACCTGCTAAGAGCCTTTTCAGAAAGGTCAACAACCAGAAAGCAAAGACAAAGTCACAAAGCATGCCTGCCCCCAAAACAATGGCTCAGACTGGAGACAACAGACGGAGGTCAATGATCAACCAGTGTTCCCATCGCCAACACCAAACCTTTCCTCTGTGTTTACACACAGGCAACCACAAAACAGTAACAGTGCAAAACCCGTTCATCTTCTGTTGTGCATAAAAACAACTGCCTTCCAACACATTAGCTGCTGAGTCCTCACATCTCGAAAGGCTGACACAAAACAAATACAAGTCATTTCTCAGTAACTGTTAAACAAATCACCTACTGTGAGTCCACTTCTTCACAAAGCACATTATGCAATTAATGAAAAAAGTCTGCCAAGGGGAAGACAAATAGGCAAAAATCTGTTTCCCAAATGTACACATGCATATTTGTACTTACATAACTGGTCTATCCAAGTATTTAAAACATTCTCTAAGTCATTTGCTGGACTGCACTGCTGATAAAAAGCAGCTATCCAAGGCCAATCACTCTCTTGGGACGCTGTAGGAGACTTAGCAGCCAGATGCCTATGAGACAGGGATCCAGCAGACATGTGCTGGCCACGAGGGGACTGTGCATCAACACTTGGGGATTCTTCTTACTTTATGCTTTTACTATAGAGGCAGAAATGGAGGGGCGGGGAGAGAAGATGACATTTTATTGTCTCTTTCAGCGAATAGCACCCCCTCCTCCAACAACGCTACACCTCCTCTGGACCGCCTGTTCAGCTCCCTGAACAACAAACTACTCTACATCTCCCATTTTTGTTCGGTGGGAAAGGTGATCGGTCACACACAGACACTTAAGCCCATTGTTAACTCCTCCATCAGGCAACCTCTGCCTCCCTGCAAGCACAGAGACACACAACAAGCAGTCAGCAAAAATACATGCATTCACACCCATATCTCCAAAAAAAAAAACAGGCAGAAAGGTGAAATATGCAGGTTTTGAACATAATCTTTTCTGCTCTCTGCACAGAAAACAGGATTGAATCATCACTATTGCTCATTTCTTCTGATTCATAAAAACACAAATGTACATCCTGATCAAAGTCCAAACATTGTGGCAGCTCATCTCCAGAGTCAACACAGGTCCTCCTCCCAGGCTTCATGCGCTGGTTCTGGTGACTGATTTGCTCCCTGATGGAGAACCACCTCATTTAATGTTAGAGAAAGCAAAGCTGAGGAGATGCTGCGAGGTCACAGGGTCAGCGGTTTGTGTGATGGTCACACCTTTTACTGAGCCATCAATCAGGACTGCTGCCTCAAAACATCTTACTTTTGTTTAACTTGTGAGGTTCAGTAGATGAGGTGCTGTGTAAAGCCAGTGACAAGAGAGAAATGACTGGTGACAATTTAATGCAACCCAGGCAACTTTTTTGGGAGGTTGAGAGAGAAACAGAGTGAAACAAAGCAAAACAAAGTGACCATAAAGGGGCAAAGAGTAGCCCCAGCACTCCGAATAGTGCCATCTCTGCTGCCAGTGACCCACATTTAGCGGCACAGTTTGCAATAAATCCAGACCATGATGTACACCGCCACAATATTCCAGCTACGCAGTCGGTAAATGCCACAAGGTGTCTGCCACGAAAAATGTGCACAGACCGGAGGGCAGCGTTAAACCCAATATACCGGAGAGACCGTGGCCGGAGTCCAGAGCTGCAACTCACAGCGAGACTTACAGACGCCAAGTCACAGAGTAAAGCAGACAGACAGACACACACATACACAGACAGACAGACAGACAGACAGCTGGAAATATCCGAACCAATATCATCACAGCTCCTTATTATAGAGCGGAGCGGCCGCTGAGGAGCAGCGCGCAGGGTTTAGCGGCAGTTTGTCAGTACTTACCTAAAAGACAGAGAAGTGACAGCAGCCCAAACTTTGAGAGACAAACTCTGGGTTTAGTGTCCCGAACAACCCAACAATCCACACGGAGCTCCGGAGCAGCTGTTGAACGACCTCAGCCCCAGAAACTCAGCCAATACTCCGGACTTTGCCGTGAACGCACCGGCTCGTGTTTTTCACTCCCTCGGCCTGACTTTCATTTGACACTCTCGGGGGGAAGTTTTAAACTTGTCGACGCTGAGGGACATTATAAAAGAGAGCTGGTGGGAGACACCTCAGCCTCGGCCCCCTCCTTCAATCTCGGCTCGTCCGCGGTCCGGGCTCCGCCAGCAGGCGCCGCCAGGTGCTCATTTACATGAGTGCACCGGCTGCGGCCAATCAGAGCGCAGAGTAAGGTGTCTCATTAGATATGCCAGCAGGCCGCTCGACCAATCAGAGCATCCCGTGGGAGGGAGCTGTGACCTGAAAAACATTGTAAAATGAAATCCAATGTGGAGGCTGTGGGAGCGGTGGGATTTCTTTCTTACTGACATATGATAGCTGCAGCAGGATGATTTCACCTTGTTAACCCCTTGCAAGAAAGCAAGCTGTTTGGGAGCCGTTTTCTCTTGATTAATTTGTTCTGCAACTGTAGCATCTGACCAGGGCCACTTAATGTAGAGCCACAGCACACACACTTGGTACTTACCTCTGCAGGAAACTTTATTACAGAGGACTGGTGGGTTAACTGTATACCATTACTGCCCCGGGGCTGTAATGACTCACACTAAAGGGTTTGCAGTAAAACACAGCAACGAAGCTGGAGCCAAGACAGTTGAGGCTCTGAGGCAAATCAGGCGTGAAACTGGGAATTCATGTTTCTTAAAAAAGCCACACGTGTCTGTACTTTTTGTGCTGAATTACATCAAACAAATCAGACGAAGACAGACTGAGAAAGTCGTTACAGTATGTGTCGCTACTTGCCCGTGAAAGGTGGGATAGTTTAGATGGTGCTCCATCAGCAGAGAGGGACAATAAAGGTCATTTAACAGACTCTGAGCTCCACCTTGGATAAACAGGGAAGGAGAACACTGATTAACTCTCTGCTACCTACCTTGCATGTCTGAGTGCTTATGCCAGTATTTCGGCATGCGTGAGCACATTTTATCTCCTGAAGTGAGGCGGCTTTGTCAAATAAAGCAAATATTTTTTGATCAAAGTTAAGTAAGCAAAGTGAAGGACTCTTTCACGGGGAAAACATTGTTAGTTTTGGCTGCACTGGTTGACTTTCAGATTAAGATTAACAACATGAGTGAGTGTGTGTTACTGCTAGTGTTTGGTGCACACACTCTGCCTTAAATTAGAAAAATGAATAGAAATACCTCTAAAACCAAGAAATGCCACCTCATTCATGCCACCTTCACTGCAGCTCACTCCCTCATCCTCATTCCTCCTCCTTTGCCTTCCCTTTTCTCCAGCTCTCCACCTCCCTCTCCAACTTTTGTTTATATAGACTTTAGCTGGACTTTCATCCGGGCTCGCCTCATTCTCACCGCATATCATTAACATTCTCTCATCACTCTTCAATACAGAGCTAAACCCAACCACCCCTCTTTCTTTCTCCCTCTGTTTTATTTTTTTTAACATACAGTATAATCATGTGAGCAGAGTTTTCTCCACCACAATGCTATAAGGGCTCAGTAATGATTCTCCTGAGTCTGTTTTATACACAGACATCGCTTTTTCTTTATAAACTTTATAAACTGAGTAATAAAATGCAAATAAACAAAGTGATGTAGCTAATGCGGTTAACGGTGCAGAAATAACTGTGGAAATTTTCGAGTTATTATCCACAACAAAATGTTTACTGAATCCTAGACATTGCTCTGCTGATAAATTCACTAATTCTCAGCTCTTATTTCTCTCCCTAGAGCCTTTCCCTCCTCTTTTCAGTCTTTTCTACTGTGCACATAGTCCAACTGGCTCTGCTTTGTGTGTTGTCTGGGCAACTGCAAATCCCCTGGCAGAAATTATGACCTTTTTCAGCATTATTTCCTTTGTACCCAATTCTGCCGCTCTCCTATTCTTTTAGTGTCTCACTTTATCTTTGCCATGATACTTTTTCATATTTTCTTTTTCGCCCCCTTTTAACAAAAACACACTCAATTTCTCTTGTAGAGTTTTGGTTGGTTGTCACCAGAGCCCCCTTTTCTCCCTCCTCCTCCTCCTCCTCCTCCTCTTCTCGTTTTGAGTGAAAGCCAGTGGAGCATAAAAAGCAGGTCTGATCCTGTGAGGAATTCACATAGTGAGAGAGATGAACAGGGAGAAAAGGAATGAGAAAAAAAGAGTTCGGATTGTATTGCGCTCATGAGTCAGCAGGGGCAAGCAAGTACTTGGTGAAAGAAAGATAAAGAAAGGGGGAAAAGACCGAGCTGCCTGCAACATCAGTGGTGTGTCAAGAAGACGAAAGGGGGGTCTCCACTGAGTGCAGAAGTCCCTTAATAGTTAAAAGAAAGACTTTACTGTTTTTAAAAGTTATTGCATTCAGTAGAAAATTGTTTTTTTTCATCTAAAGCTTTTATTCAAAAGGGTTGACAGTTGGTCTGTTGCTTGTCATTGTTAATATGCAGCTTGAATTTATTGCCTCTTACATATTATTTAGTGCAAAAACAAAAACATCAGAATGAGAAATGGAAGAATTCACCACTAAGGTATTTCATTGGACAATTCTCTCTCTCTCTCTCCCTCTCTCTCTCTCCCTCTTGGGCAGCCGCCTGCCCACCTCCTGTTGTGGTCTGACAGCTGTGTAGGGCTGCAAGATTCAGACAACACAGATCATTTGCAGAATGCAAAGATTGCAGTATGCTGGGAACCAGTATAAAACCACATGCCATGCATTCTACTGTCTAAAACATCCCCACCAGTGTCTTTTTCTTGGGGACATCCAAAACCACTAAATGTCTCTGATTTTCAACGGTCAATGAATCCTCCTGAAGTTCAACAAAACGCTTCTTTTTTTTCCTCCACGTGCATATTTAATCATACGTGTGTGGAAGTGTGCACATGTGTGTCTGTGTAAGCGTACAGATCCGCAGGCACCCCTGTGTTCCTCTAATGTTTCTGTCAGTATCAGCGTTACAGGCCTGGGGCAGGTTGTGTTTGATTGGCCTCCAGAGAGGATCTCAGAGTGTTGGAGGTGTCCGGGGTCGCATGAGCTGTGTTCGCTTTGGGGGGAAGGTTGTAACAGTGGGCGTCTCAGGCCCCGAGGCTCTCTGTTTAGGTGTACGGTGAGGAAAAGGCTCTTTCACCCCTTTCACTTTCCACGGAGGTCTTTGAATTTTGTGTCAGCTCCATTTGCTCCTTGTTGTTCATTTTTGAAATAAAGATTGTTAATGTATTTCTTTAGAAAGAGTTTATAGTTCTGCTAGTGAGGCTGTAGTTGGGCCCAATGGTGCTTTGAGCTAAATGTAATATAGTAACATTGCTGAAGCTGGTTGGAATATCATCAGGTCTCAAACAAAGATACCAAACACATTGAAAATCGGCCTTGATGACGGCCCTACAGGAAATGTGAGGGGACTAAAAGGGGATTAGAAAAACATGAATGTCTAACTTATTGGCAATCCATCTAATTGTTGTAGAGAAATCACAAATGTCATGACAGAGGAAAAGTCAGGGGGTAACCAAAGCAATTAGGACTCCTGTTCTGAGGAGCAGCAACGTCTTTACAGAATTTCACGGCTGTAGGAAGAGAGGGTGAGGTGAGGGGAGGTTGAGGGGAGGAGGAGGAGGAATTGTTGGGCGTTCCAGATGACCTCTTGCACAGTCGGGACTCTCTGGAGACCCTCTCAGCTGTAGCAGCGCACTTGTGGTCCCTCTTCCTCATGTCTGGAGGTGGAGGTGGAGGGAGGTGCTGCAGACTCTTTTTGGGTGTCATGTTTCCCCCCCCCCCCTTTAGAAATCCCCGGCTATTTATCTGCATGACACCCACACACACACACACACACACACACACATCTGACAGCGTGGACAACTACAGGCCCTGCTATGGCATTTGGGAGGCTCTTCAACAACATTGCCCTCTCTTCAAACTGCCCCCCTCCTTACCTCACCACTGAATGAATGGCCTTTCTTTCTTCTTCATTCTCTCTGCGCCGCTAACAACAGCATCTCGGGAGCTATTTATTTATTTGTGTGGGACTCTTCTGTGTCTGGATCTCCACCCGACTGTCTTTACCAATTACATGTTTAGCCGTTTCCACACCCCTGGTCTTTAGCTCAATTCAGCTTGGCCGATCGCCGCCTCACTGTTCCCAGGGTCTGCGTGTGTAGACGTATAATTACAGCGATCCTTTAATTATTTTAATTAATATTAAAGGGAGAAACAAAACTCAGCTAATTCACTGGAGCCATTTGGAACACCATGCCTGAGCTCTTTATTGCCATGGTAACCCGAGTCTGATCTGCTTCCACATCTTCCTGGATCTCAAACTCTCCCACCCTGCTCGAAAACTCCGAGGCAGGCTGTTGCCGGCCAGTGAGAGTGAAATGTTGTGGCGGACTGAAAGGATCTTAGAGACGGGACGGCGGGTGGGAGAGGAGGGTGAAGAGGAGGTGAGGGCAGGACTCGCAGGGGTGCGAATGAGTGCCATTGCAATGCAGTGAGAGGTTGCGCTAAAAATACCTATTGACACATGGGCTCCAACTCACAAGCAGGGTCACAGACAAACACACAACCCTGCAGAGGTCTCATCCGTTCAGGTGTCACCAGGCAGAGAAACGCACACAAGGGAAGGAAAAAAAACACCAACGCACGCACTTAAAAACGGCAAATTAAACACATGATGCTGCTCGGAGTATTACTATAAAATCCAGGATCCCTTCGAGTTTACATTGGCAGCGCTTTGTGTTTTGGAAAGCTCGGTGTCAAACAGAGAGCAAGGCCCTTTCCACACTCCAGTCCTCTGAACAAGCAAACTCAGCTGCCATATTGTGACCCTCTACAGGAGGAATATGGGAAAGCTGCTCTGTACACATTGTGTCGAATGCTTACTGAGGCAAATGTTGTTTTTTAGTTTCCCCCACGCTGACATAATGCTGGGAGAGTTTGCCAAGCGCAGATCACCTGAAGGAAAAAGATGATCTGGCTTTTTTCCCCCAAGTGTGCAGTTTCTGGAGGCTGTCCTACATAACATGGGTGTGGTGAGCTCTCCTGTGACAATACTGTGTTTGCAGCTGCGTATAGATGAATCTGTTTTATTCGCGTTTGAATGAAGCGATTTGGGCTGTTTGTGCCACCAAAAATTTAATTTCTCACATTTGTTAATACAAGTGAGACACATCCTTTTACCTCAAGATATCTAATCTTCATTGGTGACTCCCACAGCGCTACTGCCAAAGCTGTAAATTAGTTTTTACATCAGTGTGTGTGTGTGAAAGAAAGACGGAGACAAAGTGTCTGTGTGGCCTCTGTGTATGAGTAAACAGTGCATTAGTAATCTATGTGAGTAAAATAGTGATTGCTGGCACAACCTCCCCACAGTGCAGAGAGGAGGGAAATTATCCAAAGAGGTCTAAACTCCAGAAAGTTTTTTTTCTTTGCACTCTGAAAACATACACAGGCAGTTTATAAAAGCACCAGCAGAATAATTTGCCACCCACTTTTTCTTTGGGTGACAAAGCAGAGCATTGCTGCTACACACTAATAACACCGCAATTGAGGTGCCTGTGTGTAATCATCTTGGCACACCTGACTATTAACCGCAACAAAACTCCCGTTAATACTACTGCAGGCTTTGATAGCCCTCTAGTGACCGTAGTCGTGTACCTGCCAGCTGAGATGTAGAATTTGTGAGACTCATTTCAGTTTGGCTGTTTTTATAGAGCCAACTGGGACATTTGATTTTAGTTTTTTGTCTTTAAAGGAGAACGCTAACACCTTTGCGGCTCTTTCCACTCTCCTTCACCCTCAGCATTTTTTTTTTTACAACTTCCCCTTCACTCTTCATCTCACCTGTTAGTGTGTGTCCAACCCTCCCAGAGACAGAGTCGTAAAACCAGACTAATGATTTTTCTGCTCGTGTTCTGGCTCTCACATGAAACTAATTCATTGCTCCCTGGTCTCACCCTCGTGTTACCCGGTGTCACACAGGGAGTAAGAACAGGGCAAATGAGGGGAGGGGAGAGAGGACGAGTCCCCACCACAACCTGATTGCATCATGGGAAAGCTTTCCAAAACAAAACAAGGGAAAAGATCAAATTCAAACCACATGGACATTACTGGCGTGACCAACACTGGCAGCGACTACATTCAACACAGCAGAATTTAATTAACAGTTTGGAAATTTACGGGTGTCACGCTCGAGTGAATTTGGGGTCTTTGTCTGGTTGTAATTGCTGCCATGCAGGTTTGAGGGGCCACAACATAGCTTCAGCTTTGACTGGGGAAATGAAGCAGTTCATGGCTCTGGCTGTGAATCACAAACAATTCCAGATGATTCTTGCCTCCTCTGAGTTTATCTATTCAGCGAATAGCTTCTCTAAGTGCCATACAAGTTGGCACTGACTCCAAATTACACAAAATGAGGGGATTTACACCCACTTCCATCCTGTAAATAATGATTATGGCAGTTCTCACCAGTGATTATAATCACACCGCCTCAGCTTGCTCATGAAACATGCCCAGTGGGTCACGCTAAACATAATGAGGAAATATCTACATTGAGATTTACTCCGACAAGAGGATTGAAAAAGGCGTCGAGTGTGAAAAGTCTGAACGACGCTGCCAGCGCAGTCATTCCGTATCGACACTGACATACAGTACTCAGATGGAACATAAATCTCGAGGGCAGGTTTCAAATTTTTATCAGATGACTATGGAAATCATTTTATTAGTAGGTGGGAGAGGTGATAATTTTTTCCATATGCTCCAGAGTTATTAAAACCTGTGGTGCTGGGGACACCACGTGGGAGCTATGTTCTATTGTTTGAGCAGCTTTCTTCCTCTGAAGCACGTCTTGTTTTATTAAAAGCAGTCATGTCAAACGGTAAAATTAAATTGAAATTTGGAAGTGCTTTGATAAACAAACAGCATTATAATAAAAGCAGAATCCCAACATACTCCCCTGTTTTTTATTTTGCAATACTGTTGATTCCCTTCTCTCTTGAGGGAATCGCACGTCTCTCAAAGTACAAATAAATCACAAACAGTGTTTCAAAGTGTTTTTTAAACAATAAAACGAGTGATTCTTCACATATTGTGCTTCGGTCTGATTGATACTGGCATAGTGAATGCTAATACAGTAGGATAGAACACCAAACAACCCAACTATCCATATTTTCCTCCTGTGAGGGTTAAAGATATTTGCAGTGACTCTTTCCTCTAAGGAGATAAGTGGACTCAAACCACGCAGGCAAAATGCCACCCGACAGCAGAACAGAGCCACCGGTTGCCCTCACTGCAGGGGTTGACAGCAACTCAAATTATGTTGCAACGATTTTATGGTTAGGTACAATTTTCTTCATTTCATGCGTTCTGCTTCAAATATCGCCCATTTACCAATTAAGTAGTTTGGAAGGCTGCTGTAGTGTCAGTGAATCTAATCATAGTAATTATCTGTCATAAAATGTGATAAAATTAAGTCCCCTAGCCCATTACAAGACAACTTTAATTAGAAAGCACTGATGTCTCCATGATAATAGTCTCACATATGTCTGTTTGGCATTATTTGGAAGTATACCAACAGCAATTAGCTCATCCACACATCATCTGAGCAGTCATCTTTGATCACAAACCTCCTCTAGAGTTCTGTCAAAACACTGAATGCAAAGGGTTAATTATGTGCATTTGCGATGAGTGAGTTATGTTATGTGCGTGACTTTTTAATATTTAAAAAAAAAAATAGCACAGCGATTGTCCTTGAAAGATCCGGGTACAAACAACTATCTTAAACACATCATTAAACAAAATATCAAAACATACACCAAAGTTCAGAGGATTATCTTCTTTTATTGCAGAAAGCAGTCCAGTCACCATTAGGCATACTAGGAATGAAATAAAGGAATGAGCAAAAAGCCTGAGCACACCTTGAGCCTTTACACTCATACTACACTCTCCATACGCTGTCAGTTTTAATATTTCCAGAAGAAAAAAAACCCATACCAACACAACTAAAACCCTGTTGTGTTTTTAACAGCATGGTAGTGTTCGGTATCAGCTTTCATTGTACTGATGGTGGAAATACCACATGTGGCCGCAGTGTGATGCATTACACAGTAACACAGCACTGTGCTGTTAACGTTCCCTTGGTGAGTACACGAATGAGGTACAACAGCACACAATAATACAGCACTCATCACACATCACAGAAAAACCAAGTGAGAGACTGGTCCAACAGCAGAAAAAGTCATATTATCTGTAAGTGCTAAAAGCTGTAGTGGCCAGTTTCTCTTTCTGAATGGTGAAAGGAATAGTTTACATTTTGGTAATTTTGTTTAATTTTTTTTAATGAGAGTGTCTACAGTATGTCAGTGAAATTGCAGCTAGCAGCTGTTTAGCTTAGCTTAGCGCAGACCGGAAACTGTTGGAAGCAGCTAGCCTGGCTTTGTCCAAAGGTAATACAGACTACCAGCATCTCTAAAAGTCCTAATTTATAAGAAAAAATACATAATGGTTTTTCTCTGACTTTCTCAAAACAGATGAGAAACTTCCTCAACTCTCTGTTACTCAAAAAACCCAATGAAAAAACAAATGAAGTAAAAATTCAAACTATAGCTTTTTGCTTTACTCGATTCAGTACAAATTAAGCAAACTAGATTTAGTTTTAAAGGTGCTGTCAGTCTGATTTTGTTTACATTTGACAGTCAAGTTAGCCATTTCAGGTCTTTGTTAGCTATGCTAACTAGCAGCTAGCCATAGTTTCATATTCACTGTACAAAACTATGTTAGCAACATTTTCATTTAACTTTTTGCAATAAAGCAAACACGTATCTTTTGAAAAAATGTATTTCTACTATTGATTTTTATGCAGTCAAATTAGACCCACTGTGCTGCCATTAGCATATAAACATGCTGAATGAGTGTATCCAAATCCTGCACTGAATCCTGAAAATCCCTATTAGAATCTATCGAAAACTGTTGTAGTAGTTAAAACACTACAAGTTTAATTCCTGAAACAGCCTCGTCCAGCAATAGAGAATTTAACGCCCCTTTCTCTCCTCCACCAAAAAAAATAAAAATTCTCCAAATACAGCATCGTTGTTACACACAGTATAATCTAATTCAAAACCAAATTCAGATAAACGACCCTCAAACACAGTTGTAATACTGGTAACTGCAAAACTGTGTGTAACATGTTGGTTTTTATCAGTCCTAGTCTTTGTGGTCTAGTATCTCCCACATCCCATCCCAAACCCGCAAACCACAGCTGAGACGTGCTATGGTCAATGAAGAAGATTTAAAGTTGTGTTCTTAAATCTCGAGCTGATCTGAGAGCCAAATGGTTGCTCCAGTGAATGACATCATATCAACAGTGCATGTGATTTATTTTATCATCCTTTCCTGAACTTTGGCATCTCAGCTGTGAGGTCACTTTTTGATGAAAAGATTGATTGCCTGAATAATGATTTCAGGCTGGTATTGGTTCATTTATCTCTGAGAACTACATGCAAAATATAAAGATCAAATCAAATCAAAACCCAAACTCAACCAAACCCATTCCTAGAAGCAATAATGAAGAATAAGCTTCATGGATGAACAAGCAGAGCAGAGGCACAGCATGGAACACATGAATTTGCTCTGTATATTATAGGGAGAAGGAAACAGGGTGAATAAATATGAAAAGTTATTGTATTGAGAAAGTAATGATATGAGGAGTGGAGACATGAGAAAATAAATGAGAAGGAATGCAGGTTTAGGAAAATCAAGGAATGAGAGGTGCACTGGAGCAGAGGGGAAAAAGTCAGTAAAGAGGAGCAACTTGTTTCTTTCTGCTTGCCTTTCACTCTGTCATCACTCACACTCATTTTCCCGAAGGACATTGTACATGTTGACAGTGACGCCAGACGGTTCATCGTCCTTCCGTCTCGGACGTCCAAACCCCTCATCTTCATCATCCCCATCTCCATCCTCGTCATCGTCAGCATCCCGGTCTTTCTCTTCCTCGGGCTCTGTGCTGGATTCGCCGTCCTCGTCGTCGTCCCTGTCTCCTGTTCCTTCCTCCTCTGTCGCCCTTCCTTGAAGAGCCATAATCTCCGGCAGGTCTGGGTGATTTTCCCAATGCTCTGTAGACCATAATTAAGCCACAAAAATAAATAAATTCTACCAAACTGCCATTTAAATCTTTCAAATACACTTGAAATTTGACACTTGAAATGAGGAGACCCAGGGGAGCCTCTCTTACCTCTCAGGCAGCTGTAGCCTGGTGGTCTGAGGCAGAGGCACAATCTGCCATCAATAGCCAACCGAAGGAGACTATTAGCTGCACGGTAAACATCATTTCGAGCTGCTTTTGCTGTCTTATAGCCTCTCCTCTCTGCCCAAGCTGTAGAACGCAGAGAGAAAAGGAGAGTGGGAGCACTTTCATGATAAATGTCAGTGACAGTATATCAAATCATAGTGTTGGCCATATTTAAAGGAGGAGTTTACTCTTTATCATCTTACTGTCGTCAGATTCCAAGATGAAATCAAAACCAACAACAAACAGTTTGAACTAACAAGACCCTGCAAGTGTAAATATTCAAGACTTTATACTCCTGACTGAGTGATGATTACAAAGGACTGCAATGTCTGGCTGTTACAGGACAGTGAAAAGAACTTTTTAAAAACAAAGTTAATATTTATGACCTAAAGAACAAATGACTTGAGCTCAAGTGCCACTAACAGGTTGGGGATGTAAGTACTGTGAGATGGATTCATGCCTTGCTGATTATGTTTATACCATCAGATTTGTCGACAAGACAAAACAAATAGTGACACCTGTTTACGTGTTTTATGCTTCAGTGCAGTTATTTGCTTTTTACTTGTAACTGATTAAAATAGATGACATATCACGATATACCGCCTTACCCTCACACACATCCCAGGCAGTCCAGCTGAGCTCCTCAGACCCCTGGTTTCCTAGATGGGGTTCAATGTCTTGCAAACTGGGGTGTCGGAGCTTCAATACACTAAGGAAGAGGGTCCTCTCGCACAGATAACCAACTGAGCTGTAGGGTTCTTGCAGCTGTGACACTGGGTAGATCCCTGCCAGGATCTACAAAAAGCAAAAAGGCAAAGAAAGAAAAAAAAAACAAACAAAAAAAAAAAAAAAAAAAACCTCAAAAACCAACCAATTTTGAAAAGAAGAAAAAAACAAAAAAAAAAAAAAATGCTGTTTAAATAGTTGAGCAAAACAACCTTGGTATTCATAAAGAGACTTAAAAATACCAAGGGGGGAATGTATAAAATCAGTAATTCATCTCCCACGTGTGTGAGTGTGTTTGATTCAACTAAATTACATTTCTACTAAGGCTAATCAGGCAAGTTAACTCAAACTCATATATACAACAGTGGGCTTGTACCTGCAGCTGTTTATTGACACGGGAGGGGAAAACCAGCCCAGGGCAGTCGCAGAGTTTGACTGTCGGGGTGAGGTAGTAGGTCTGGAAGTATTTGGTGTGGCCTGGGGTCCTTGACACACTGACCACCTTTCTCCCAACCAGGCTGTTTATAACAGATGACTTGCCAACATTGGGAAAACCTGGAAGGGAAAAGGATAAATTAAAAATCAAGGTAACAATCTGTAACGGTGCCTAATATCTACAAACTATTGGACTCAGGTTCAGTATATTTATACTACAACATTCTTCATGAATTGTTTTGAAGCAACTAACTATTTACAACGTGAATATGAAGCCATTTCCACGAGACTTTATCCTATCGATCCTTCAGTTTTTACTTCCGAGTATCTGGCTAAATTACTGTAAAATCTTTTTTTAAAAATGTATTATTAATCATGAACAGATTCAGTAATTGAACGGGTAGACGTCAGTTTTTAATAAGATTAAGGTAAAAAAAAACTAGTGGGTACTCCGATAAGCACTGATTACTAACTCTTAGCAAATCTTTTATCCAATGAACAGCAGGAAAAGGAGATTGTTGTTTTAATGCAGTCATCTTTGCCAAGTCAAAAAAATGTGGATATCTTAAGAAAACACTTATTCCACTTGTGAAGTTTTTTGCAAGAATATTCTAGAGTTCAAGGTCTGTGAGGAAACTTAGAGGATTACCTATGCAGCCTAATGTGAGAACCCCGTCTTTGTAGAGCTCCTGTGACAGGCTGCTCATCTCCATAGCACTATCGCTTTGATGCTCCATTAACACTGATTCTGCTCCTTCATCTGGTCGCTCTCCATCCAGACGCTCTGCAACAGCATCTCTTTGAATCTTCTGCTCCCAGCTGGACAGATCAACTGAGAAAAAAGATGAAATGCAACATTCTGAGGACCAGTACAAATGCTCAGTTGGAACCTAATACCTGAATAGTTATGATAAAAGATGACAAGCAGACAGACTCTCTCTCACCTCTCCCTGACGTGATCTCCTGACAAGCCTTCAAGATATCGATAGGACCTCCAGCGTGGCTCCAATCAGCCTTCCTCCTCATCCTCTTCTTCTGGAGTACTATGTGTAAGAAAGAAAGAAAGAACAGACAGAAAAGGAGAAAACAAAGAGTTATTTCTATCACAACAGGGGATGAGGACAGATGCATAAAAGGCTATTCTGGTGATACTGCTGTGAAATAAGTTCCTGGCTGGAGTGGTTCACCTTCCCTCCACTATTCCTCTCCTCACCTGTGCTATTTGGCTGTCCAGGGTGGGAGGTGAAGCAAACAATTTGCAGGTGGGGGAACTGGGAGGTCATGTAGTGTTTCCAGGCGATCACCAGTGGGGGAGGACAAAGGTCGGCTTTGTTCAACACCAAGACCACCTGCTTATGCAGATCTCCTGTGATGTGGTGGTAAATGGCTGGAGGGAACTGCAGCACCTGGGTGGTTTACACGAGGACACGCCTTCTTTAAAGGATAATTATAGGCTATTCAACAAATAAACCACGAGATCAGGACACTGATTTATAAGAACAAAACAAGTTGTGCCATTGTTTTATTTTTACCATAAAAACAAATCAAAAGCAGCAGATCATACTGACACAGACTGAACACAGTGCAAAGGTAAATGCAGGCATTCTCCTCACGTCATCAGCAAGATCACAATGTATATATATTTCAGAAGACTTTTATGGAAGAAAACAAAAGTCGAATACTCTCATAAACTAAGAAATCATTTAATTTCTTCTTAAACAATAAGGATCAGATTTTAACAATAGCCAATTGTTCATAAAACTCATAAAACAAGTGCTGTAGGACTAAAATACCAAAACATATTTGAGGCAGAAGTAACAAATGCAACACATTTCTCATTTCATCCTTTTTTTGTTGACTGCAAAGGTAACTTTAATTAGTAACAGACGTGTACAAACATTTCCTTCTTCTCAGTTTTACCTTTTTGTGTCTAAGACATTGATTGTTATTATTTCAGGTAAGCAAACGCATAACATTTTCAAAAAATATGTAAGGTAAATAGATAGATAACAAAAACCAGATCATGTGCTACTATGATTCTTGATGGTGTCTCCATCTAGTGGCCTCAGCCATGCTGCAGTTAACGTCACCTACCGGGTGCCTAATGTCAACGATGAGCAGAATGACGTCAGACATCTCCAAAACTCTCCATAGCTGTCTCCATGTCTAAAAGAAAGAAAAAAAAACAAGGGAGGCACAATTTGGTTTAATATAATAAACAAGACAGACTTTGCTGTCTGTGATTTCAAAATTTCTGTTCTTATTCAACCTAAAGTAAGTCTCAGCTTGGCTTTACACAGTTTAATAGCAAGTCTCAATTTTGGCCCACAACTTTTAATTGTATTTGGCTGCAGGAGGCAGATGTTTTTGGCAAAAACTCCAAATACCCAACAGTACACAACCTGCTCTGTGCCTAACAGCACACACAATTAATACCTAGCCGGTGAACATAGTGGAGCATTTAGCAGCTAAAGAGCCAGATGTTTCCCTCATCTGTAGAGACTACAGTTGAGGTAAAAAGCAGAGCAAAACCGGAGAGGAAACACTGAACCTACATTCACCATGTGGCCGAAAACATGTCTCAAAATTAATGACGACGTTGCTCCATTACTGCTGGATGTGTAAAGAAGTAAAGCTTTTATAACAAGTTCCCCACAGCAACTTGCTACCGTTGTTCTAAAGGGGCCAAAAAAGTTAATATCCATTATTTTTTATCTTAATGCATGCATTTAATACTATTAAACTAATATGCAATTAAATAGGCAAAACAACCTGCTCAGTCACCTTATGCATGCATCCATTATTTTTCCATCATTTCTATCTGAAGTTCCACCTAAAAAGCTATCATCTCCGCATTGCTGTGAGTCACAGTTATTACACAAACACCTGCTCGAGCCCTGCCTCCGCTGTGATGTGCCTCCTGAGCTCACCCTATGCTTAGAAATTACATGATCTAAAAGAGATTTGGTTATACAAAAGAAGTGTCACAATTTCCATACTCTCAGAAAAATTATACAATAACACAGCATGTAGAGAAGACATGATGGTGCCTTTCCCAATGGAAAATAGCAGGGTATTATGTATCCTACAGTTCTTTCTGATCTCTATATGATCCAACTTTAACAAAATAAATAATCAACTCAATGTATGTCCTGGAGCCAAACACTGAAAAACAGCCTAAACAGTAAAGTCTTTAAGACCAAAATGACAGAGCAAGTCATCATGCAAGTAATCATTAGCTTACATGCAAACTCTTTCAAAAGCAGCCTTACTTCATGCTGTTATCTGTTGTCAAAAGGGTTCAACAGGTTTCATGAATATTCATGTGCCATTTCCGCCATTGACAAACGGGTTAACATGACATAACATGAATGGTTTCATGGATGCGTGCTAACCTCACCAATCTCAGGCGAAAACAGAACATTGATAAGGGATGAGAGTGAGTTGGTAGAGCAGAGAACGCACATAATGGACTTATCTGTGTTCACTTTGTGAGGTCTGAGGTGGATTGCATGACTTGCTGGGTGATTTAACATTGCACAGTGGAGTGAATTTTGACTTGCAGGATTAATTTCTAGAACAAAGACTGCCAAATTATCTGAACCATGTTATTAAATATATAGAGGTAGCCTTTATAAAGTAGTACAAGAGGTAAAACTACAAAGTAGTACCTATGTCTGAGTTAGTTTGTGTTGCTAACAAAGTGTTTGAATGTGTAAAAAAAAAAAAGGGGAAGCTACAACATTAACCATGGATGTTGTAAAAGAAACAAAACAAACACTCTCTGCGTAAGTAAGTTACCTCCAGATTGTGCTCAAAGTGGCTGAGAGAGCCAGGTGGGTTTCTAGAGTGCAAGTCATCCAGGTACTCTCTGTATGACTTCTCCTCTTTCCTTAGCAGGTTCTCTCTTGTCATATCATAATTCCACGATGGCCGCCGTGGGAAACCAAGACCTGCAGGTGAAAAATCAAGTTTCAGCGTGTCAAGCAGTGATCCGGTACATTCACGCTCTCTGCTTATCTGTTTGGTCAATTTCAAGACTGTGATGGAAAAAGCATTTAAAAAATAGCCAAACCTTTCTCTGAGGGGTAAATTTCATTGATGTCCACCTCAAGCTCTTTGTCTGTGACGGGTTGTAGCACCTTCTCCCTCGCTACCTTCTTCCTCTTCTCCACATCCTCTTTGCTCTCTTTCTCAAAGTGCAGACGGAACCTGGACAAAGGAGGAAGAAGGAGGTGTCAATAATCCTAGTTAAGTATTCATCTTTGTTAGACTGTGTGTTATATCTTAATAATGATGATTGCATTTACATTTCAGAACATGCAAATTGATGTCTATATTTGGGATAGAAAGGACATAAGCATTACAAGAATAATGTTTACTATTAACTATTATTAAGACCATGTTCCAGTAAAAAGCTGGCCCCTTATTTTGTCACATACATGTTCTGACATTTAAAAACAAACAAATAATCATCTAAAATAGCCGCTTATTGCTAATTCAAGCATGCATTTTATGTGCCATTTCAGTCACCGCATCTTAAATTCCTCTCAGTTTTAAATGACAGACACATGCCACACACTGTTAATTTCTGAAGTGATTAACAGAAATTATAAGTGAAAACTCACCTGTTGGGGTCATATCTACCTTCTCTGCTAAAGGGCTGCTGATTTAGTCTTCTAATATCAGTGGTCTCGCTGTCTGAAGTGTCTGACTGACGCTCTCCTCCACGCTCCACACTGGCATTGCGGCTGCTCGGTCCAGAACCTGTCTCCCCTGGGAGACATGGTCACAAGTCAGGAATCAGTCAAACACAGGTGTGCACTGTAAACCAATAAGCTTTTTTTTGACCCTAATACAAAGATCTACTTCTTCTTCAGTCAATGTCGGGGTAAAAGGGCATAATTATGCTTGCTATTAGCTGTTCTGAGTCATCCAAGTGGAGACATGGCACGTTACCAAAGATAAATATGGACAACTTTCATTAAAATGGACGACAAATTGTTTTAAACCCAGACAAGACAAGACAAAATACAAAAATAAAAATAAATGACCACATGATCTTAAAAACATCTTAAAATAGTAGAAGCATGTCTTAAGGCATTTGTTTTTGAACAACATGCGAGAAGGCCTTGCTTTTCTAAATATTCACTCTAAACAGAGGACTGGGGTCAGGCCTTGCTATGAAAAGAATTCTCTTGCTAGTCAAGGTATAACTGGATAGAAGAGCTGAAGAAAACAAAGTGTGCTAGTGAGTCTGTGTTATAGTCCAAAGCCTACTTTCTTGAAATGCTATGATATATTAAAGAATATTCTATTTTTTCTAAATGTGGTCGCAGTTAAAACACTTGAACAGCCACACAAACACATGTTTATGAAATTCAGATAGGTTATGGTCCTGTGTACTTACAACATATATCAGATAAGTGAAAAATCTTTAATATAACATGCCATCATTTCTTTTTATCTACTTACAGTACCCTACCAAGCTGTCTCTGCTAATTTGGCACCATATTTGTTATTGTTTATTGCCAAACAAATCAGGCCGCCATGCATTATTTAACGCTTTTTTGGCAGACAGGTAAGCCTGTTATTCCGTCTACATCTAGTTCGAAGGCAAGTTATATTACAGTGCTTGACATTGTGCTAGCTAACATAAACACAGGCTATTTTCCAACCTAAATAAGTAGAACCCTGCTGTATTTAAAAACCCAACTCTTCCCAACAGCACGCAGACACACAGACAAACCAACAGATTAATACTATTCCGTATGCAGCTGTGGAGCACGAACCGTTAGCTAGATGCTAACGCTAGCACGCTAACGCTAACATGCTCAAGCTAACTGCAAAATGTAGTTACCTCTCTTTCTCTCCCGTTTGACTTGTAGCTGTTTCTTCTTCTGTTTGTTGCTAAATGGCTTTTTGCGGGGCATATTTAACAAAATGAGATGGCTAAAATATATTGCTATGCACTGTGAGTTTGTACCTAAAGCTTGTCACCACAGCTTTCTTATTGACGTTGTTTACATGGATGAAGTTTCTGGACTCCTACACTCTTCAATGACGCCATATCCACTGCAGACTGCGGAGAATGGTGGACCAAACCAACTACAAGTGTTCACGAAGCGATCGATTTTTACATATTTCGGCCTCCATTTACATGATCTTATTATGATTAGACTAAACGAAAGTAAAAATTAGTCTTTATATCATTGTGAACAAATATACGAAAAAAAATAAAGGCGAAACTGTTGGTAACCCCCGCGTACCCTGATGGTGCATTCCACTTTTACAAACACCTTACAAATGTGCACATTCCAGCAGACAAATGAAACCCAATACATGTACCTGATGCACACAAGCATGTTCAAGATATGCACAGCACAATCCAAAATAATGTGTGTACCTGTGTCTTTTTCAGGTGTTATAAAAATAACATGTATTTTTTAAAATACAAATGAAACTAACTGCATGTAGTAAATGAAGATCTGAAACAATTTATCAGTTCATCAGCACTTCATGGACAGAACATGAATGTCTCTCCATCATTACAGTTATATAGAATTAATCTAGGACCTAATTGAAGCAGAAAAACAAACATTTCAGAGGGTTTATTGTATTATAGGCAGAAAAAAACCCACAAAATCCAGATGTCTTCAAAGAAGTATTATAAACATTGTTACCTTGGAAGTATAATAGCAAGAGCACATTTGAATAACATTACTTTAAGGACATACACTCAAAGCAGTACAATAGGATTACATGAAACATGAACTGGCTCATCACGGCCCCTAGGTCACAGGCATGTGAAGGCCTGCAAAAAGGTCTAAATATGTTATGCGGATTATCACATCCTTATAATCATACTTTCTAAACCGGCAGTATATATATATTTTAATATACTTAATTGATTTTTTTTTTCTTTCCTGAAAGGGAAATAACCTTGATATCTCTGTTAAGGTTCAAAAGATCACAGGCATGTATTTTACAACATAGCAGAGGTAATAACACTGATGTAAAAACTGAAAGTCTCTGTATGAAAGTATAAAAATTTACCTTCACAGTAACCCACCAATTCAATAGAGAGACCATATTTGCCATGGCCACAGCTGTGTTTGTAGGGAAGGGCAGGAGGTGATAGCAAAGAGAAGCACGGTCTCTTAGACACTTCCTTTCATAAAACCATCACTGTGATGGACCGAAGCATACTTTATTGCAGTCTTTACATGCACTTCCTACTCAGAAAGGACAGCTAAGCAAAAGGAGCACAAATCAAACAAGGCAAAAAAAAAAAGAGAAAAAGTCAAAGAGTCAAACTTAAAAAAATAAAACAAACTTATTGCCTTCAGTATGCTGTGTCACCATCATTTGTCCTGTCTGCCTCAAACCATCATTTAGGCACAGTCATGTGTTCCGAAGTTTCTGTATGATCTTAGTATTGCTTTTTTTCCTTCGACTCTCCATCCTCCGTTTCCCGTTTTCTTGAATAGATTCTAACTTCCCCACCCCCCACACGCCCTCCTTTCATCCCCTCTAGGAGTTGAGGTGCTCCACTTGAATGGTGGACGCTGACACAGTGAGACAGAGGTCCTTGTGAGAAGTGATGTCAGCCACACTGACTGGTTTGTACTGGATATCACTGGCAGACACTGTCTTATACTGATGCAGGTCAAATGGACAGGGGATGGATTCTGTCTGGGGGTAGTTGCTCTGGCTCTGTCCTTGCTGGCTTCCGCCTGCTGCTCCACTCCCGGCTCCCCCAGGTCGGCTCGATCCTCCATCTGCATTCTCTACCCGCCTCTGAGCTCCAGCCTGACTCTGGGCCTGGCTTTGGTTCTGTTGTGCTGCCTGTGCTGCCATGACTGCTGGTGCAGCCAACTGGTCTGGGTTGTGTTTCTCCATGTGTTTCACCAGATACGTCTCCTGAGATGAAGGGAGGATAGGTAGAGGGGAAACAGTGGACACATGACTACACGGTGTAAAGTAGCTGCCAGGTTTCTGATGCCAGTGAGGCGATTCAAAGTGTTTCATGTAGAAATGCTCTTCAGAAATGGACATTTGTCTTACTGAGGTATAAGTGCGGTTGCAGAGACCACACGAGTAGATCCTGGCATGTTTGACTGTGTGTGTGGCCATGTGCACCTCCAGGCTCGCTGCATCTATGTATCCTTTATTGCAGTTGGTGCATTTGTAGGGCTTGTCTTTGTTGTGTTGACGCCGGTGGGACTGGGAGAAAATTGTGGTTGAAGAAAAGCTTTAAAAAGGTGTCACAGTACAGGAAGTGTTCGGTGGCACATTAACACCAATACAATGCATGCATAAAAAGAGAACTAAATTCTTTCACACCTGTAAATTTGAGAGCTGCGTGAAGGATTTCTCACAGCCTGGATGGGAGCACTTGTATGGCCGATCTCCAGTGTGAATCCTGAATGAAAAACACAAAACACATACATCATTTTCATGTGATCACAGAAATATGCGGGCAGATGAGAAACCCAAGACCAGTGGTTGACTTACCTGCTGTGCTGCTGAAGGTGACTGAGCTGTCTGAAGCATTTTTGGCAGTAGGAGCAGGTGTAGGGTTTCACTCCCGTGTGGATGCGGATATGCTGGGCCAGGTAGCTAGAGTTGGCAAATGACTTGGTACAATGGGGACACTTGTGGGGCTTTGACTCCGTGTGGTTCCTAATGGGGGGCAGGCCAGAATGTGAAAGAAAAATGGAAACAGGATTGTAAGCGTAAACTGGGAGAAGAATAAACATGATTAAAAGAAACTCCTGTAATTTATCCAAACTTTTCCAACGGGCATTAAAAATAAAACCATCAAAAAAAACTTTGAACCAAACAGATGGGAAAAAATAACTACAGCATTTATATTTTGCGTTATTTTAAATTTCACATAATAACAAGAACATCCAACAACAAACTAAATAAGCTCTGTGCTTCAGATTTAAACATTAGGGGCACTATTGAAATTATGCACAAAAGATTAAATAGAATAAATAAACAACTTTGAAGGGTTTTACAAATGTATCAGCTCAGATCAATGTGCATCCTGGAACGGCAAAAAAACTTATTTATGGTTGGCCAAAAAAATACAAAAAATGAAAAAAAAAAAAGCATGAAAGCAGAGCATGGTGGCAGAGGATTTCTAGTGCGCATTGCTGTTCAATGGACAAAGTAAGAAAAAGCATTACGAGGAAGAAGACCAAACAATAACACAGTGGGTAACTCAATAGGAAAGAACAATGGCACCAAGTAAACCTGCAACTGCTGTTTAAAGCTTACTTGGAAATGAGTGTGTCTAAAGAAGAAGCTACGGCAGAAGAAATGACGAGACGTGCAGACAGAAAGAACACAAAAAAGCAAGTGAAAGAAGAGAAATATGATGCAGTGCAAATGGTACGAAGAGAAGCAAGAATTGTGCATAAAAACAAAATAAGAAATAAAAAAAGTAAAATATTTTGATTGTATGAAGTATACCTCCATGCATCTTAATGGTCCTTTGTGACTATTGCATAGAATATAAGCTTTTTTTTTTTTTTGTAAAAAAAAAGGAAAAGCGACAACTTGAAAGGCGTTATTTGTATTCTAATTTTCTGAAAGGTCACTGGTAGCATGCGAGCCAGCATCCACATGGCAATGCAATATGCGTCTGCACACCTCTCCACCCTCTTCCCCAGGGGGAAGAAGAAGACAGGAGTCTGGGCTTCTAAGGGAGGTTACACAGGACAAGTTAAAAAGACGAGGAATGGGATTGGTAATGGGGAACGGGAGTCTGCAGTACCGTGTGTGCTGCTGTAAGTGACTGAGCTGCCTGAAAGATTTCTGGCAGTAGGAGCAGGTGTAAGGCTTGGCCCCGCTGTGGATGCGGATGTGCTGGGCCAGGTAGCTGGAGTTGGCGAATGACTTGGCGCAGTGAGGACACTTGTGAGGTTTGGCCTCTGTGTGCGACTTGGAGTGGATCTGCATGTCAGACTTACTGAAGAAGGTCGCCGCACACATCCGGCACCTACAGGCGAAGAGACACAGAAATGGGAGGGCGGAATGGAAGAACACGAGGGAAGAAGAGGGAAACATATAAAGACGGGGGAAATACAAGGAAACAAGAGAAGATGGGATAGAGAGGAATTAGGAGGAGGGGAGAGAAGGACAAAGAAAATGGAGCAATGAGCCAAAAAGAGAGAAAAAAAAATGATAGAAAATAAAAATAAATGAGAAAGGAGATATAAGTGAAGACAGAAGTGGATTTAATCAAACACCAAAAAGGTACATCCAGACTGCACAGAGATGATGTCAAGGGAGAAACCAGTGAAATTGAAGAGGAAAGGTTCGCAGATACTATAAAAAGTAAAAGAGCAGCACACAGGGGTAAGGTCACAACCAAAAGAGCATGCTATTCAAAGACAAAGAGGACAGTAGAGGGCAGGTTCATGTCCAGTGTGTGCAGAGGCAGAGAGCGTCTATGAAGCACTGAGGTATTTGTTTTAAATCAAGTGAAAGAATCAACCATTCACTACAAAGCAGGCACGTTTCGCCACAACATGCAGTCAGAGAAGAGGTGTTGGTGCGTGTCAGATGCTCATATCCAGTAATGCATCTACAAATCCTAAACATCTCTACGCAAAGTTTGACAGGACACAGAGAAACACTTGTACTCGCATTCCACAGTCAGAGCAAGGAAAAAGTGTAGTTCCTCAGCAGGTGTGTGTCTGAAATCATACCTGTATGTCTTATCTTTTGGGCTCCGAGCTTCGTCTTCGTTTGACAGGTCATACGGGTCTCCAGCATGATGCTGCAAAGATGCTACCTATGAAGAATGAATTTAGGTTGTTAAACCACCAGTTTATTGCACCTTTGCCTTTTCCCATCTGGAGCTGTTCTCTTACCTGGCCACCAGCCGTCAGATGAGCCAGTATTAGTGTTTCTGGTGTGCCCAGAGGACCGACCCTAGTTTGTGTTATCTTTTTCTTTCTCCCTCGTTTGGAGGGCGCTGGCATCACGACCACATGGGGTCCGTCACCTTCTTTTTTGTCTAGATCAGAACAACAAACAGCAGGGTAAGAGGAAAGAATAATCTTTAAGTGAGCAGTCGCAGAATTTTGCAAGCACTATGTGGAACAAACAAAAATAAGTTTTATTTAAAGAACATTCCCTTACAGGTAGTAAAAAAACCCATCAGAATTTAAAACAACAGCCCTCCTTCTGCAGCTTTGCCCTCTCCCACGAGTGCCCGAGCTTCAAACTAGTCAAGTTACACATTAACATCTACTTGTGGCTTCTCATGGGATTCGCGCACCACTCTTTTGAGCCAAAGTCCTCTGTCTAACCCTTTGTGCCACCTCGTCTTGCTCTCACCTCTGATTTTGTTTCTATTTATACTATCTCACCTGATCTGGATGAAACAACCTGTGACTGGTTAAAGTCTACTACCACAGACTAGATTTCCTTAAGCCTGAAAATGGAGCCAAGAAGAGGTGCATACGTCTAGTTTCCTGTTAGGCCACTTGAATTACCATCTGCTTGAAAGGTTTTATGGAAATTTTTGCCAGTGATGCCAAAAAATGACTGCCTATCGCCGCCTTGAGCCATTACATTTCAGATGTGTACACAAGAGAAATCATATGTGTGAGAGCATGTTTACTTCACCTTGCGAATGGAGAGCTGAAACAATCATGGTTGTTGCTGGATGGCCAGAAACAAACGACTGAGAGGAGGTGGGGGAGACTAGCGTTCCCTGAGGAGTTGTGATTACCAGACCGGCTGCATGAAAACAGACAGAAAGGATTAGAGTCTGAGATGAAAAGCATACGTCAAGTTCAGGAATTTCTTACCAATTACATTACATTCTGAACCTTAAAGTGTTATTACAGCGCTACATAAAAGCGTGTACACACCGATCAGTGATAACTTTAAAACCGCTGACTAGTGAGACGAATGATACTGATCATCTCAGTACAATGCTGTGCTCTGCTTGAAAACTTTGGATCCTGGTGTTCATGTGGTTGTTACCAACATACCACCTACCTAAACATTGTTGTAACTTAGATACACCCCATCATCAGGGAGTGTACATGTACCAGCAGGACAATGCACCCTGCTGCACCATAAAACCTGCTCAGGAACAACTTGAGGAACAAAGGAAACCCCTACAGGTCCTGTGTTCAGGCGCCAACAGGCCAGAGCTGTTTAGGCGGCACAAGCTGGACCCACACAATTAGGCAGGTAGTTTTGTGGCTGATCAGTGTATCACACAATGTTCATTTTATCCTCTAGTTTTTCTACTGGAAACATTTGTTCTAAATCATTCAATGTACTGCTGTTCTTCTGTGATTCAGAACTAAACCTGCTCTGTTTTAAAATCACTAACTAATCATCAGATAATTCGTCAAACATGAGTCTCAAAACTAAGAAAGAGATCCTCTAAAGGCGACTCGGTGCAGATAGGGGCGTACCTGCCGTCATGATGCCTGTGGAGGGCACAGGCAGCACGGTGATGTTCTGGGTGCTGTGAGGAGGGTGGAGGTGCGCCGCACTGCCAGGCTGTCCTCCTCCATCTGTCTTGGCCCCAGGAGTGGGGATGGTGAGAAGAGCTGTCTGGTAGTGGGATGCAGAAGAAGGAGGAAAGGAAACACTCTTTTCCTGCTGCTCTTTCACCTTGTTTAGGAACATGGCATTCTCGATCTGTGAGGAGAGAGGTGTCTTCATTAAGTTAGGCACGGTCATCTTTGTGTAGTAAAGTTTAGAAATGTAGAAATCAGTATCAGTGTGAAGTTTCAGATTTCGAAGAGTTACTTGGTCAAATAATTTGCCCTAAATTTAAGCTCACTGGAGCTTCTTGTTCGCAACAGCTGATTGAAAAGTAAATTCCTGTCTCGTCTTACCTGTCCTGGAACAGTGGGAACAGGAGACCAGAAATATGATGAGTTAAAATGAGAATCTTCCATCATTTCTGTAAGGAGACAAAAAAAAAAAATAGAAACTTTAAACACTTTGCATTCCTGGCCAACACCTGAGGCACACTGCAGTAATAAATATGAAACACAGAACCAAGAGTGCCACATCAGTTAAAGGCAAAACTTAACGTGTTTTTATTCCACCACATGTGAGGCGTTAACATTCAAACGGCATCAGAAATGTTGAAGAGTGCAGATCATTTGATGTAGATCATCGGTAGTGTCAGAAATACTAAGTTATAAGATCTGTATGGGCTACAAACTATTTTATCTTTGTAAAACATTCCTGCGAGAAACAAAAGATATTTGCTTAAAACAATGTTAATAGCATGTAAAAAAGCTTTCATAAGGAACTGGGGGAGGGTAGATGTGCCTACAAAAGAACCAATGAATGACAATCAGTGAAGAAATATTTGCAAGAGAAATTGTGACAACAAAAAGCCCAACTGGATGCAAAATTGAGAAAACAGACTGTATATAAGACTAAAATTGGCAACGGCGGAATGGCAGGGTGAAAAAACACATTCATGATGCTTAAAATGATAAAAGTACTGCTTGTTCTAAGTTGGTGACACTGATTAATGTTGTTAGATCCTTAATAAACAAAAAAAAATGTTTAAAAGCAGTGTAGTAAATGGTAATGCAATTGAACAACACCACAAACTACAGCTGCCAAATTGTCCTCAAGACTGAAGCAGATCACTGAACAGCTTCAACAGAAAAGGACCAATATGACCTCCAGGATTCACTGGACAGCTCTTGTTCATGTTCTCTAATGCATACGTGGCTTTCTCTTATGGAATCTAATGACAGAGACTACAATAAGAATAGTGTCTGCCCACATCTATGAGCACGTTCTCAATTCTTTCTCCAGTAGATAAATAACACTGATATAAACACAGGATAATATTTAATACAGGCTCAGCCACTACCACAGTGACCTGGGAATACGCATATTTTTGGCAAATCAAGGGGAAATAATTCAGGTTTGTGAAACTAAATTCTGACATTCTTCAAGAGTCAGATGAGGTAATAAAGTTGGATACCTTTAGCGTCTTAGCACGTCAGTTGATGTTGCGTTTGAGTTGTGCATATTTGCCCTCCAAATCACAATCGGCCGTTTTCACCAGTGATGAATGTTAAACACACTGCACAAGACTGCCTAAGACGTAATAAATAAAGCTTCCTATTTAAACGCGTGTGAACATTTGACCTATCAGGAGCAGTGGTCATACACACACACCAAGTGACTAAGCGGTGTCAGTTAGTTGAGGTTTGCTTCAAGAGAAAGAAGATATTTCTGTTGAATTCAGAAAAAAATATTTCAAAAGGAGCAGAGGAAACTCCCCACGGTATTAAAATAGTGTTCTGTTTGGACAGCATGTGCAATTTGTTTAACAAAAGCAAATAATTGACTCTATTTCTTTGTTCAGAGGGGACAGGCTATTCGATATTTGAGGCCTATCTAATAAAGCAGAAGGGCACAGGAACTTTATGGCTACCACACTTAAATACTAGTTTACATTTCGCAATATAGTTTGGTGCACATCATGTTACGCAGGCCTAGTTTTCACCACCAAAGTTCTGACTTATTATAGTATGATACAGGTTTTTCTAATAGCTGTAACCGACGATGGCTCCGTTCCAATCGACTGTCCCAGTAAACAAACCAGGACACTGAAACTGAAGCAGCAAATGAAATTAAGCCGATGCTGATGTTGTTATTTACACATGTGCTCTTCTTCCTGTGACATGCAAAACGTCTCCTGCTTGAATAAAGTCATTTTAATCAAATTACTGTAAACCGGTTTGGAACAAAGCTGGGGTTTGAGGGCCAATGCAGGTCTGAGGGTATGGAGGAAGTTGCTCAGTAGGTAATGCACCCTTAGGCCCAGCAGCCCTGTAATCAGATCAATTCAATTTCAGTTTCATAAAGAGAGAGAGAGAGTGGACTGACCGACGACAGGAACGAAGGATTTTATAACTAATATCTTTAAAAAAAAAGAGGCATGGAAGCCAAAGATCAGTTCATATGGTTTAGAAAAACATAAATGACGTTTAGGTCTCCAGGATGAACCTTGTGTTCAGCTCCACCCAGCCACAAAATTAGAAATCCGTATTAGATTGCTCTTCCGGGATGTTCGATTGTCTAATGTAATGTTCAACTTTATTAACTTCTTCAACTACGCTAGCTACTCCCGTGTATTTAGTGCGATTCGACAGAGGCCACTACTTCGGTATAAGTTGGCTCCACAAAGTCACATCGCGCTAAATCAACAACGTAAGGCCAACTTTTATAAGACGCCACCTATCAAATGTATGTATTGTTTACAGTAAGCCGTGGCTCAACAGCAGGATGCCATTTCGGCTCCTTGCATCTTGTAGTTAATCAGGCCCCGACGTGCTGATTAACATACAGTTATCAGACAGGCTGTGTGCCTGTAGTGCCCTCCTGCTTGGGGAAAAAAAATAACAAGCAAACCAGAAAAAAACCAAAAGCATAGAAAAAACTGAAGCGAACAGGGGGGAAAAAAAACCAATAGACCATCCTTACAGACTTCCGGCTGTGGGGACGGGTGGAGAGGCGGCAGCACGGTCGTGCAAATCTACCAAAAATTACTGCCGACTGCATTGAGAATAGTGGCGATTACCGGTGCCGACGACTCGGTGTTCCTCCTCGAGGCTCCAGTGGGTTGGGACAGTTTGGACACCGGCACCAAATCTGTCCAAATTCCTGCAAATCAGTAAAGTTTTCCCTCCTCTCTTCTCTTACTCTTTTTTTTTTTTTTTTTTTTTTTTTTTTTTTTGAGGGGATTTTTTTTTTCGCTCCGGTGAGCCAGCTGCCTCGTCTGAGCTTCACTTCCTCCGGATAAGGTCGTCAGACAAAAGGAGTGTGTGTGTATGTGTGTGTGTGTGTGTGCGCGCGCGTGTGTGCTGATGTCATTTCCGGTGACTGAGGGACGGTTAAATTAAAAACTGTCTAAAACGTAACGTAATGTTTTGGTTGAGTGGCGGGAGAAGCACGGATTTTCACGGGTACGAACCACATCCGCGCGTCATTATTTTACTTTCACTTGAGCTTCAAGTTGTGAAAAAAAGGGAAAAGGCCAATAATGGTGCCTTCACTTGCTGTCAGAAATTACAGAGTCCAGCAGGTGTCACTCTACGTCAATAAAAAGCTGTGAAAAATCGTGAATGAGAAGAATGCTTGCGAAAAGCCTTAAAAGCATAGAAAGTCTATGCTCAAAAGTTGATAGTTACACAGGGGAATCCATAATCATGACAATGAATACTTCTAGACAAAATAAAGGCAGATTTTTTTTTGGTTTATTAATTATTATTAATAATATTATTGTTATTAGCATTGTTGTAATAATGTTTAACCTCATTGTACTTGTGTTTTTGTAATTTATTATATATACCAGACGTCACATAACTGATCAGTATTGTGTATGTATGTACTGGCACTAAATGTTTAGTTGGCAGGTTTATCTCAAATACATTTCATGTATGCGCATGTGCGCACGCTATGTACGATACAAATATTCGAACTTCGCAGCACTTTCTGTATTTTTTACTTATTTTTTAAAAATAAAACTGTTGTTCCGTTGTCGTTTTCCTTATTTTTCAAATCTCATTTACTGAGGAAATTCAGATGTACAAGCTGAATGAAATGCATTTGAAGGTAACACGGTTTTCGTATTCTGTCGTCCGGTGGTAAAAAGGGGACTTTTAGGTCTCGGATTTTAAACAAACCACAACAAACACCAAACCCTCCACACACAACCCAAGTCGTTTCATTGATATGTAATGGTACAGGATGTATTTATCTTAAACGTTTCAAAACAACCTCCTGAAGTGGCCACACGAGGCCGCTGTGCGGAAGCTTCACACTTCTACTGGAGCGTCAACTTCCGGCGACACGTTTCTCCTAAACAACGCAATGTTGTCAGAACCTCCGTTACTGATTTAGACATTGTCAGACTTATTAACGTGCAATATTTTTTCTATGATGCTTTCTTACAATTTGAGATTTAGACAGTTTAAAGTGTAGTTGAGCTGTAGGACAACGCCAGAGCCTCAATGGGGGAAGTGAGGAAGCTGCAAAAGAAGTTGAGACAGATTGAAAATCTGGAAATAAAAATCACTCTCACCCCTGAGGAAAGATTCAAGGTACAGAAACACTTAATCTACATTTTCCTTTTAATTAAATCTGTGCGTAACTGGCTAATAATCCACACATTCCCGTGCACATAAATACATGCACACTGAACGCTATAGTGGCCTGTTCACTGCACAAAACAGCACATTAGGGCATCACAGGTTTGGCACACAGCAGCCAAGCTCAGACAGTTTAAAAAAAAAAAAGAGAGATGAATAAAGATTGTGTTTATTGATGCTGATGCGCCGTAAAGGTATAAAGGCTTCTTAAACCTGCAATAGCAGTGTTGGCACCATAAAGACAGTGATTAACATGAATAAATAATGAAGGTGCAATGAATAATTTGACAGTGTTTGCCCTAAGAACTTAGCAGATCAGAAGATCACATGTTGAGCAGAGCACATCAGGAAAATAATTATCTGAAAGTTCAGAAAAGCACCCACTTGTTAAAGGGCAAAAGCTGAATGCTATTAATTATGGCTGTACCCTACAAGAGATAAGTTTCTTTTAATTAGGAACAGGAAGATAAGTGAATGACATCCAACACATTTGCAGCTAAAAAAAATATTTGTTAATGTCAGTGAAGGTTACTGGTATTGCACCAGTAAATAAAAAAACATTTATATGGGTTACTACAAGTTTCCTCAGTTTTAAGCCATAGTTACCTTGAACTGATCAATCAAACAATGACAGCACAAACGTAAGTTCCTCATCAAGCCACATTCTTATTTATTTAAAAGGTTTATTTATCAACTAGATTATACCATAGTGACTTGAGAGCATTTTTTTAGTGTTGCACTTCCATAGATTTGTGAGACTTAGAAGCAGTAGAGGAACACAACTAAGAACATTTACTCAGTAGTGTACTTAAATGCAATTTTAGTTTACTTTCCATGCGTATTACCATTATATGCTCCTCTACAGCTCTACTTCCCTCCTTTCACGTGTGAAAAATGATACCCTGTGTTCACTGTATTTAATTGGCAGAAATATTTACTTGTTACTTTTCAGGTTAAAGTTTTTACAGACAATCTAACTACAAAATAATATAGTTGTTGACCAATGATAATATTATCTTAATGCAGTGACTGGGTTTATTCTGCCATTTAAAATAATCCGTTTTCTGCAATTCAACTCAGTGTTGTCTCCTGTCGAACTCGACCAGTACTTTTTGGAGCTGATGCAGATCATTTTCAGGGAGTAAAATCTCCGATAATAATGTATCAGCTGCTGTTGCTTATGTCAGATTGATGTTTGAAAAGGGGATATGAAAAAAAATCAACGTTTGTTGTCTCACCAGCATTTTATTTCACACACCAGTTGCTGTGGAGTCATTGTGAAGACTCTGCTTGACTCAGCACCTGTATTACATGCTCTGCTACATGTGCTGCAGACAGTGCTGAAAGTACGAAGTGTGTCAGAAAAGTTTCAGGACTGGTATCACAAAAGATATATTTCAAACCCAAACTATGTGTTTTCCCCTTCTGATGATCAACCAGCACATCTGCAAAAAGATCCTGCGGTGTTTGCTTTGTTCAGTGCACGAGAAGAGGTGAGAGTTGTGGCAGGACAAGTCGTGACTGCCATGACAACGCACCTGCTCACAACGCCTTGAGCATTCGACAGTTCCTGGTTGAGAAGAACATCGCTGTGCTGCAGCATCCTCCCTACTCATCCCACCTGGCTCCGTGGGATTTTTTCCTCTTCCCCAAGCTCAAGGAGGTCATCAAGGGGACCCGTTTTGAAGACGTGGACGACATCAAGATGGCTGTGATGACGGAGCTGTGGAGGATCCTGGAAGAATCCTTCCAGGAGTGCATGGCGGCGTGGCAGAGGAGGCTGGGGAAGTGGGTTAGACTCCAGGAGGATTACTTGGAAAGGGGAAACTTGTAGTTTGTAGTTTGGATTTGAAATATATCTTTTGTGACACCAGTCCTGGAACTTTTCTGACACACCTCGTATAGTAAACAATAGAGTCAAAGCCACCCTGCTGGACAACCTATATATCTTTCTAAATTACCCCAAGAATCTTTGTGTCTTATTAAGGGCCCCAACCCCTTTTTAAATTCTGTAGTTCAATTCACTTCACATTGTAAGGCTAAGATTTTACAATATTACATTATAGAGAGAAACCCTGCGATTCACTTTGAGCAAGCATTTGGCAACAATCTACAACCCCGAGCAGACAAGAACCATAATGATATCAGCATCATAAAAGCGCTATCAGAACTGAAAAAAAAAACACACACAGTTGCTTTCACAGACAGAGTAATAGCAGACAAATAAACTGAGGAATATATTGTTTAAAATTTGGTGGAATTCTTCTTTAACAGAGAAAACAGCCCCTTGATATAAATGGCTGTGCCCAATTCACTCGCTCATGCATATTTCAGAGCTCGCAGTCAGATAGGAGTATGGCGTATGTTATGTGCTGCAGCCTAATAGGTCAGGACAGGCTGAGTATGTTGGTTGTACACATAAACAACTTGTGGATTTAGCAGTTTGGTTAACAACCAATCTTGTGCCGTATTCCTTCTCAGATCTCCAGGAAGGCGGAGCTGCGTTCCAGATTGGCTCAGCTTCAGCTGCAGCTTTCTGGCCCGCAGCAAACTCTTGGGATTGTGGGAGACGGAAAAAAGGAGAAGATGAAAAGACAAGTGTAAGGAAGTGAGGAAGAGGTTGGGCGGTGGTGGGTTGGTGGGGGTGGGGGGGCAGATGGAGAGAGGCATAATTCTTCAAAAGCAACAACATTCACTTTGAAGGCTTTGATCTTTTTTATATGTCTATCCAAACACTGGAGGTCAAATACTTTCATGCTTTTTAAAAAAGGGGACTTTGTACTGATCGTAATGTGTCACATAAACATCTATCAGGGATGTCATCCTCCCTATTTAATCCCCTCAGGGCCTTTTGCTGTTCATTGAATTAGGCATGCGTGGACAGCATCCGTACTTTTTTGTAATGCACAGACAAGGAGCTCATTAGTAAGGACTGTTTTTAATTTGTCTGAGACTTGGAGATCTTCTACAGGTACTCTCTCTGTCACAAAGGATGCTGTGTGCAGTTTGCATCTTGATTATTTATTCAGCTTCTGCTTTCTGCACTGGCACAGGGAGAATGCCCCCGAGGCCCTTCCATCACAAATGCCTCCAGCCTCAAAGATCCATAAGGGAGAAAAGGAGTCCAAAGCTCAAGCGACGCCAGTGCCAGCTGCCAGGCAGGAGGAGGCAGTGGGGGAAGCAGAGATAGGCAGACAGCGGGAAAGGACAGAGCCGGCCAAGGTGTCAGATTACTGTCGAGACACGTCAAGACGCTGTCCAGATTTTGACAAGGAGCAACAACTGCAACAGCAAGGTGGAATAATTAGGGAGTGTGGCTTAAGAAATTTTCATTACAGTTTTTTGCGGGCTGTTTAAAGTGCAACAATATGGTGCCCTCATTTGCGAATAACATCTAAAATCAGATTATACATGTATGCCCCGAGGAGTGCTAACAAGCTCATGTGGCTGCCTGTATTAAACCAACAGACTGCATTCGCTTCCCTGAAGACAGGGCCCACGTTTTGCATCCTTGGAGCTAATTTAGCCCCACGCATGTTTTGCAGTGGCAGACTAATCCATATTGAGGAACTGTGTAGATTATTAAGCCAGCGTGCTTATGAGTCAACATTGCTAAATGCACAAATTATTCCCTTCACAGAAGCTGAATTTACGTCCCTCAAAGCATCTTGGGAAAAGTCAAAGTTTCGTCTGAGGCTGCTGGAGGGTCACAATGACATAGTCACCTGTGTGGTTGCTGTTGACAACCTGGTGGTTTCTGGAAGGTAAAGGAGGAAATTCCCATGTTGCCTTACAGATTTGCAACGTGAACGTTTCACCTAATTTGTGAGTTATTAGGCCCTCCCTCTCTTGCTCGCTGTTTGACACATATTTGTTTTTCCTCCCCCGCCCTGATCACTCGGCACAAATCTCTTGCGGTTTATGTCAAATGCCTTTTAACTTTGCTTGCTTTCACTGCCTCTCCCTTCTTGTGCCTCTTTCTAATTCTGTCCGTTTTTCTCTAAGTCGAGATACAACAGTGAAGGTGTGGCACGTTCCTACGGCAACAGAGCAAAAGAACCTGGGAGGTCACACCGGCGGAGTCACCTGTCTGTCTGCTCCTCCCCCTGAGTACTGCAAGAGGCTAGGTGAGGACACATGCATATACATACATACATCTACATCCTTAAATGTGGGCCAACTACGGCTGAGTAATGCTTGTGTCCTGCCGCCGGGTAATTATAGGAGCAGTTCATCAGATCAACCCCTGTGAGAGATAACCTCAGTAGACACTTCAGCGAGTGCACTGTCTGTGTGAAACAGCCAGCCTTTCATCATTTAAACTCCAAACAGCTCTCCTCCTACTGTCCCTCCCCACCTGCTTCCCCAACTTAAAATACCAAGTCTAGAAGTGCACTTCATTAATGATGCAACTCGGTCGAATCACAGCCACTCAGTGTTCATCGGGATAATTGTTTGCTTCCTTTTAAAAGTCATGTTTATTCTCTCTGTCTCTTTCTTGCATTGCCTTTTTTTGTTTTTGTACATCGTCACTTAAATGCAGCTTCTTGTCAGCTAATCTGTTTTTCCTCATCCATCTGTCTCTTTCTGATGATTGTTTCTTCCTCCTCATCTGTGTCTGCCCCCTTCCGCTCTTTTATCTGTGTTTCCCCTCCCACCAGCCTGGTCCCTGTCTTTGTCCGACAAAGAGAGGTTTATTTTAAGTGGCTCTGCAGACTGCAACGTGAAGATCTGGGCCCTGAGCACCGGTAGGCTAAAGCACACGAACATGCACACCCATACACACATATATGCAGTCGTGAACAAAAGTATACATACCCTTGTAAAGAGCATGTATAGCATGGCAGTCTTGAGTTTCCAATGACTCTGATAACTCTCAATTTTCTATGATGGAATCCCTGAAATGCGTGTTCAGCATACCTCACACGTTAATGATGAGGTTTAAGTCAGGACTTTGGGAAGGTAAATCTAAAACCTCAGTTCTACCCTGATTTACCCATTTCTTTACCGCTGTTATTGTGTGTTTGGGATCATAGTCTTGTTGGAACACCCAGCTGTGTCAAAGACCCAAATCTGTGGCTAATGACTTTAGATTTTCCTGAAGAAATGGAGGTAATTCTCCTTCTTCATTATACCATTCATGTTGTTTAAAGCACCAGTTAGGTTGGCAGCAAAACAGGCCCAGAGCATGATACTACCACCACCATGCTTGGTGGTCTGTATAGTGTTCTTGATTCAATCTTGACAATCCAGACCGATTGTCTCTCAGCAGCAAGTGATAGCTTGTGTTTGTTTCCTGATTGTGGTTTGAAATAAATCTTTTGTGACACGAGTCCTGGAACTTTTCTGACACACTTCGTATTTAAGTCAGTGATTTGCTTTTTCAGATCTGTGCTGAGCTCCGTAGACTTTTTTATTCCATTGTAGCGTTCTTGACTGATGAGTGTAATAAACAGGCCCCTATTTAAATGGGCTCCGACAAGTCAGCAGGTGTAGTCAATCGTAATCACTCACGAGAAGTAATGAGGCCATGCCACTAAGAAAATTTGATTAGCACAGCGTTCGATATCACCAAACTAGTAGTCCAAGTTGTACTATGTATATTTTTAAAGCAGCAAGTTGCGGTCATATAGTGTTCCTTTAGAAATAACGCAAATCAATGCTTTATCCTCTGTCTTCTGTGCTGCCATCCAGAGGGCACAACGGGTCACTGAAGGGTTTGATGAGTATGAAAATGGTGTGAATTACATGCTATGGCCTTCGCAGTTACCAGATGTCAGCCCAATAGAACACTTATGGGAGATTTTGGAGCGACATTTCAGACAGCGCTCTTCACCAGATGAGGGAATATCTTCTGGAGGAATAGTGTTCCATCCCTTTCAGTCGAGTTCTACAGACTTGTAGAATCCCAAGGTGCATTGGAGCTGTTTTAGCAGTACGAGATCCCCCAACTCCCTATTGAGACGCTTGGTGTAGTTTTTTTCTTTAGTCTTTCACCTGTCTGTACATGCGGATTAAGGTAGATGGAGCCTCAGTTTATTACCCATGCACATCTTAATTAGTGAATGCCTGTGTGAGTGATGGCCTGCATTGTTTTATTTAAATGAGTGTTTTATTGTTACCTTAAGGGCAGTGTGTTAAGTCTATCTACACATTCAACGCCGTGACTGCGCTCTGTTTTGTGCCAGAGGAAGACGGTTACATCATCACTGGATCAGGTATGTTTTTATAAGGACGGTGGTTATTAACGAAACAGTGAAGACAATAATTGGACCCAGACATTTTTGTATCGCATTATACTTGAATCTCACCTGCTTCTGTGCATGTATGTGCTTCTGAGACATGTACATGCACCGTTTCATCCCAGTTTGTGTTAGTCTTTACTTCTATGTATGCCTAGTTCAACACTGTGGCATCATCTGCCAGTGAGTGAGAGAGTGCAGCGTAGGGTTATCAGGCTGAATCAGAGAGATGGAAGCACACAGTGTAGGCAGTCAGGCTCAGGTGGGTCAACTGTGACCAACAATAATGACTGCCAGTCCCCTGTCAACACGTATTAACCTCACGCTCTCGCCACCCTGCAGATGGGGGGAAAGTTCAAGCCTGGAGCTGGCATTCTTTCCAAAACTGCCAGTCAGTCAATGCTCACCAGGAAGCAGTCACTTCCATCCAGGTAGGTGGCTCATTCACCTGCTGACCGTGGCGCACTCTCCAAACGGGAACTGCTTAAACTGTCACTTCCAGCCTATTTTTAACAACATGAAGCTGTCGTAAGTAGTTTAAAAGTCGGTTCGTTTATTATTTATACGTCGCTGAATCCTCTGTAATGTGGTGGGGGGTCTGGAGTCTATCCCAGCCGACTCAAAGCAAAGTCAGGGTACATCCTGGACAGGTCGCCAGTCTATCATAGGGTCCCAAGCACGCTCACATTCACACCGTCAGACGATTTAGAATCAACCATGAAGAATGTCTTTGGACTGCGGGAGGAAGCGTAGTACCTGGTGAGAACCTACGCAGGCACAGGGAGAACATGCAAAGACCCCAGGCCCAGATTCGAACCCAGGACCTTCTAGCTGTGAGGCGACAGTGCTAAACACTGCTTCACCGTGCCGCCCCAGCATAAAAATCGTGATTACTCATTTGTGAAAAAGCTTCTTCTCAGGAAAATAAATGGCTATATTTCTATTTCTTGTCCTCACGCAAGCTTCCCTTGTTTATTGCTTTCAAATGGAAATCAAAGATATTTGTTGAGATGTAAGCCGTAGAGCTTGTCCAATTTCCGAGCGTTCTGTGCGTATTTTGAGCAAAAAGGTTTTTTTTATGAATATTGAAAACCCGAGCTGCATATGCACATTTTTTCCAATTTGCAATCATCATAATATGCCTGAAGAATTAAAGTGCAACTCGTCATTGTCGTCCTCTTTGTCGTTTGTCATGCAAAGCGCACAATCCTTTCTAAAACCAACAGAGGCACAGGAACATTTTGAAACTGTTCACACACTTCTCCTCCATTTGCCCAAACGTGCATACAGTCGTGTTTTCTCTCTCACACATGCATGCAGACACACACACAAACATGCGCACACAACCAATGGGTAAAGACTCAAATCACCATGACAACCATGTCCGTTGTGCCCTCCGCAGTCTCAGGGTCCGCTGGTGTTCAGTGGCTCGGCCGAGGGAGGGGTGTCTGTGTGGGAGAACCGGTGTTCAGATCGTGACCCCCTGATGCTGCTGCACCACTGGAGCAGCCAGGTGACGGGGTTGAGAGGGGGGGTGGACGGGCGTCTCACCCTCAGCCCGCGGGGAGACCGAGTGTTCCTGGCTTACGGTCAAGCCTGGCTAAAGATCCTGCACTGGAGGACGGGTGAGCCCTGGGCTGAGATGGGTGCTTTGGTGTGCGTCAGAGAGAGAGAGAGACAGAAAGATTGAAAACAGAAGGTAGATGAAGATAAATCTGCATAATCCTTCTACCTAACATCTGTCTAATTATCACAGGAGCCACATCCAGAGTGACCAATCACAGCGACATCACCGGGGTAACAGATTGTGTTCACCAAACAGGGGGCCTCCTAATTAGCTCCTGCTACGATCTGGCAAACGGAGAGAGCACACTAAATTGTGAGTCACAGTAAACCATGTGCAACCAGTCACTACTGTCTCCACTCTGAAAGTTTGAGAACACAATGAGGAGTTAAGACAAAATCGAAACCACTTTGTGTTCCTCTGTTGACCTCTGTTCCTTTCATCTGTCTCTCCTCTCTCCAGTGTTCTCTCTGCCACAGTGTCAGTATCTGGTCTCTCTGGCCTGGCCTGATGCTCCCAGAATCCTGTGCTTTGCAGCGTGGACCACTGGGAGTGGAGACCACCGATGGGTGACTGGAGGTCACAACCTCACTGTATTGGAGCAACTCCCCAGTTCTGGGAAGCAGAGGTGCACATGATACTTGTCAACAACACGTGAACAGATTTTAATCAAAGCTGCTTTGTTGTGTTCCCATTTTGAATATTCATTATTTCCTGAGGTCAACTCATTGCTAATTCCAAGTAAAATAAGTTTTACTTGGATTTAATGTGTGCTAATGGATTTAACTGAATTTGACACCCCTCTACTGCTATTATTCTTATTATTATTAATTGTCTTCTTCTTATTATTATTATTAATTGTTTATGTAAATGTTACAGGGGTGACGTCACTGTAAGGAGAGACAGTGGAATGGACTCCTGCTTGCAGGAGTCAGAGGGGGACACGGAAGGTGACGAGGATACTGATGGTACAGACACGCTGCAATTATACACATCTTTATGTCTTTGTGTACTGACTCACAGTCTCAGTGAGTAACCATGGCATTGCACTATTGTGGTGATTTTAGATGATGCGTGTTGTGACAAATCCTCATAACCTCCTTGTCAAATTTAGATTATGAGGATGATGATGATGACAACGATGAAGGGAAAGACAGCTGGTCTGATCATGCGGAGGATGGTGGGTCTAGATCGTGGCTCCGCTGCGTTCTCCAGTGAGAACTGAGGACACCGTGGCCTGCAGCCATGAAGAGGAAATGAGAGGGTGGGAACGTAGTGACAGCAAAGGAGGGTGCAGGGGAGTGAAGTGTGACAAACTGAGTATCAGTGTTGGAGGGGGAGCATATGGATGGAGTAAGTATGTGTGTATGTGTGAGTGATAGGCAGATTGTTTGATGTAAATATTCTTTTCACATACAATAAAGCTGTCACTTTGTGACTCGCACCTCCAAATTTGCATCTTTGGTTGTCTTTTTTTATTTCCATCTGACCCTGTCTCTTTGAAACACCAGTTCATGGACCTCCTCTGCTGGTGCAACCTGTTTAAATGAATGCAAATTAAATTTTACTCCATCTCTGTTCACTCCCCCTATCTGTGTCTCCTTCTCTCTAAGGTGTCCTTGCTGTTTTTGTAAACATTTTTGAGAGGGTTTTTTTTTTTTTTTACCTCTCGCCTCCAAAATGAGCTTATTAATGTCGTCCTCAGTATCATTTCTCTTTGCCTCGTCAAATTCATTTTTTTCCCTCTGTGTCCGTTTAATTGAACTGTTTTTTTCTTTAAAAAAAAAAAAAAAAAACATAATTAGCATTTAAATCTCTTTCCTACAGTCCCTTGCCCTTCCTACATCGCTCTCTCTCTCTCCTCTCTTACTCTAGCAGACTCTCCATGTCTCAGTCGCTAAGGCAACCGATGCTTTTTTTTCTCACTTGCTCTCTGTATCTCCCCCTTTCTCTCTGTCTCCTCTCTCATTCCCTCTCTTCACTGCCAGAGGTAGGCATGATAACTGATATGTGTCGGAGTGCATGTGTTTTTGTGTCCGTCTCTTGGTGTGCTCGTGTGTCTTTAAATTACATTTCTGTGGCATTTGAGCAGTAGTTGTAGGTAAGAAGTTATTGCTGTCTGTTCAAAGTGCCACATAGAGTATTGACTCCATGCGTGATACCTCTAGTGATGTGCTGTGCTCAGGTGTGTGCACTGTAAATATGTCAACGGGAGCCAAACAGACAGTAAGTGTGCACTTTTGGATGTTTTTACATGCAGATGTGGATTCTGTGTGAACATGTTATGCAGGATTGAGTGTTAAATTTAAATACCCACGGGAGTCTGTGTGAGATTTTTTTAAAAATGTGACATAGTTGGCTTCGTGCCAGTATCCGTGCTGGTTTGGTTTTTATGCATTTAAGTAGAAGAAGAAGAAGAAAAGCGGAGAATCCTCCCCCTTTCTCTCCCTCTCCATTCCTTTCCTGCCTGTGTCTTATCTTACAGAGAGATGATCGGAGAAGAGGAGTCTCAGTGAACAGAGCGAAGCGATGGAGAGATGGTAAGATGGATAGTTTGTGAGGGAGAGGCATGTATGGGATGCAGATACATAAAATGTCACTCTGAGTGATGACTGGTTTGGGAGTCAGTGTCTGAGCTGTTGAGGTTGTTCACGTTGCCTGTGGACAGTGCATTTTGTCACACAAGTCCTGTGTCACTTGACCACCTCTCATTCTTCTTTGTCCACCTTTTACTTCCAGCTTCATCTCTCTTGTCGCACGACTGACTGCCCTCATCTCCCTTCTTCTGGTTGCTTTGGTGACACAGCCCTCCACCTGTAACCGTGACGACAGCGAGGGCGAGGAGCAGGTGGACACCCTGTCGGTCCAGTTGTCAGTCACAGCCCAGGCCACACCTACGCCTCTGTGGGCGGTGGTCTGGGGTCCTACTCAGCCGCTGGAGGACGAGACACACCACTTCCTCTCCAGCCAGGAAACTGATCACCTGCATCTGCATGGGAACCAGCAGGAGGCCAGCACCGTTACGGCCGAAGACTGGCTTTATCCCGATGCAAGCGTGCTGCCCCCAGAGAGACCACCACTCAAGTCCAGTGACGAGGGGGGAGCGGAGGACGGAGGGGCGGAGGCAGAGGAGACGGAGCCTGAGGAAGGTGGGCATCACGAGAGGCACATGAAGGATTTTTAAATAACGGTGGCCATTGAGTTACAGTCCATGTGAGCATACACACATGCCAGGACTCCTCCAGGGAATTAGCTGTCACCAGGGTGAAGCCTGGCTCCCTGTTGTGTGCAGCCGGCTGTGTCTGTGGCGGGGAATGCCTAATAAAGTTTTCATCACTCACAGGGAGGAATTGGCTGCTGTCAAAACTGCAAAATACAGAGAAGACGTCATTGGATTGGTGTCATAGTTGGAGGCCAGAGTCTTGCACATCCAATTTCATGTTTCAGCTGGCTTCATTGATTTATTTTTTTTTAAGTCTTTTGTTCTGGATACACATAAACATGGTCACAGTCTGAGATTAGTAACTTTATGTGTGTGTGTGTGTGTTACAGTGGACCCTCAGTTCTACGTCACCGTGACCATCTCCTCGCTGCTCATCCTGACAGCAGTCGTCATCACAGCCAAACTCTGGTAGGAACCTTAACGCTCTCTTCTAAAGTTATTGTGCCCACGTACATGATCACATCATAAAGAGGGCATTGCTGAATAAGAATGATCAGCCAACTTTGCTGATATGAGCTGGACACGTCTTCCCCAGCAGGAGGGTGGTAACTGATAACATGGCAGCAGTTAGGATTTCTGAATTGCACACTTCAAAACTGAATTGAGATACAGGATATGAAGTTATTTTGTGGATCTACTGAATTATATTTGGTCAGACAAAAGAGCTGTAGATTCGCTTGGAACAGAGGTTTCATACGATGAGGTTTAAATGACAAACCTGAGGCGTAATGTAAAGCACAAAATAACTGCAACACAAAATTGCTTTCCTCTTTTCACTCTTTTATACTGTTAATTATTTAATAGTTGGACTTTTTTGAGATTAAAACAGTCATAGACAGATCGGGTTATTATCGGCAGACAGTACAGAGGGGTTGTGGGTAGACACAGCTCGATTTTTAAAAACACTGAAGTCTGCTGGTTGAGGAATCAGTCAGGGCAGTCCATAAGGATTTAGAGGTTAAACTTATTTTGATTTTTAAAAAGTAGAGCGTGATACTCTGGACCAAATCAGTTCTGCAATACCACGCTGGCTGTACTATGCAATAAAAACATAGTGGTTAACACTCTTGTTTTTGTTTATTTGTTGATGATAAGTTATGGGCTTTTTAATGTTTATTCCTCTTATCTGATAAATGTCATTGTTTGTTTATTAATTGGCCCCTTGCCTCCTGCCATTTTGCATAAGTGAATCCCTCGTCTAGAATTTTCCATTTTGTAAATTAGACTGAAAATGGGAGCTTTGATCATGTTACCTGGAATGAAAACGTACGGACTGTGTCAGAACCATGGGCATTAAAGGAAAAGTGTATGGCTTTGATGTGTTTGCATGTTTGTGTGCCTGTCAGTAATGATGACGTAATGGCTCTGTGTAATGGAGCTGTGTAATTGCTTACTAATGACTTTATTAATAACACTTGTGTTCCTGAAAATCACAGTTGGCACAGATGTGCCTTTTAGAGCCATTAGAATGGCAATGATTAAACGTTCACCATGAACATTAGGATGGGAGGGGCAGCCAAACACTGCTGTGACCTGTTGCCTTACAGGTTGGACTATTAATCTGGCTTCAACAATGTCAGTGTGCCTCTAAAGGTGACCTGCCATTAACCTCTCAGAGATGTAATAATGCAGTGGAGGCTCTATAGAGGCTGTGTCACAGTTTCAGTCTCGTAGGAGATTCTCACTAAAAACAGTTTATTTGACCGCTGGACTCTTCTTCTCCCTCCTTTTTGGTTCTCACACATTTCTACTTTTACTTTTCTTACTGTATTTGTCTCATGTATGCATCTTACCGAAATTTCTATCCTCCCAATTTTTCATTTCATCGACTAAATCTGTCTTATTTGTTCTTCTTCATATCCCTTTATTCTCTCTTAATCTCATTTTTTCTCCCACACTTCATTATCTCCCTCCGTTCCCTGTCTGACCCTCCATTCTTCTTCCCTGTCGCTTCCCAGAGATTTCTTTCTTTCTTTCTCTGTGTACCTGTGTTCCCCCTCCTCCTTCAGGCTCCTCACCTCTTTTTACCAGTTAACGTCACTGCTTTACTCTAACCCTTCCTCTCTTTGCACAGCCGCTACTCCTCTTATCTCCATTACCAGTCTCCTATCTCTCCCAGCACCACCAGTCCGGCTGCAGATCCATGGATTATCCTCTAGCTTGCCGCCAGCTGATACATGATAAGCCCCTTTTTCTCTCTCTTCCTGAGACCGGCCTTCGCTAGCCTTCCGATAACTTACTTCATCAACCCCTGCCGTGGAGGAAAGACCCATGGTGCTGGTGGATATAAATTGTTGTTACAATAGTGAGAATTGCAGGCATTCAGACTGGAGACATGGCAGTGGTCCCTCTCTATAGACTGGCTCGTGCTTCAGTGTCATAAATGTGTAAATAACGCCATGTGTTACATGGAGAAAGTGCCGCGAAATGAATGGGAGGGTGGTACAGATGGACTAAAATGACAGCCTATAGTGGAAATTGGCCACCGTCCAGTTCATTATGATTATAGAGAGCGGCATATGTGCTCAGTGATTCTGCCATGCCTAAAATGTAGCGTGGCTACTGTTGCCAAGCGTGGTGGTGTTTGTGTGTAAAGTGAGGAGGGGAGTCAGAGGGAGGAGGACAGGTGTTGCTGCGGGAAGATGAGGGTGCAGGATGGCTTTTATGGCGCCGCGAACAGCTTTGTTGTGCATCTAAGTATTGTTAAGAGCCCGAACCTTGCTCCTGACTGTGTCTTCACCATAAATCACTCTCCTGAAGTAATGCACCTCAGTGACGCCTCACCCCTCCTCCCTCCTCCCCCCTCCTCCTCCTCCATGTCCACGTCTTCACCTTGTTGCATCCTTCCCACCTCACCTTCTGGCTTCCCCCCCTCACCCACCCCACAGTGCTGCCTCCTTCCCCATTTCTCACTCTGCCTCCCTCTCACCTCTAAAAATGTTTTAATGAGCCAGATGAGTGCACTAATTCTCCCTCACAGTGGCAGGGTAATGTGTTCGCTGATGCTAAATGGCTCGGTTGGTTCTGATTCTCTCTGACTTTCTCTTTCTCTTCACCCATCCTCTTTTTTTTCTGCTCTTTGGCCTGAACTTTTCTCCGTATGCTTCCCGTCATTCTGAGCCTGTCTCTCCCTATTTAACCTTCCTCTATTGTAAACAACGTGTCTCTCAAACTTTGACTTCTGTTAATAATCTGCCTCTTTTCTCCTTTGTCTCCTCTCTGCATCCTTTCCCCTGCCTCTTGTCTGTCTCCCTCTCCACCGACCCCCCTTGTTTCCCATTTCCTCCCTCTTTAACCCTTCTTTAATCCTTATCTCTCCTCTCTTTTCACACATCCCTCCCAATTACTTGCCTGCGTCCATCCCCTCTCCGCCTTCCCTGCCTCACTTTTAACCCGTCTCTCTGTCTGCCTATCCTCCTCTCCCAGTTATGATCGCAGCTGTTCCCAGCATCCGCCCCCGCTTTCCCGTGGCGTGCCCCCACCCCTCTCCCTCGCGCTCCCTCGCTCCCTCGCTTCGGAGGAAAGCCGGCAGACGCTGCACAGCACCACCTCCTCCTTCGCCGACAGGGAGAGGTAATGAGTCGCCTCACCAGCCCCGCACCGTCTTGAGTGTGTGTTTACGAGTCTGACGTGCATGTGAGTCTCCGTGCACCTCTGGATTCGAGTTTGCTTTTTCCTCTGTGTGTTTGAGAGTGTTTGAAGCAGCCTTATTACCTCTTTCATGCATTGTAAAGATGTACACGGAGCATAATTGGACTGTAGTGCTATTCTCTGTGGAGTATTCAGGCCTGAGTGTTGGTGCTGCTACAAGATGTATCAGTCTTTTAAAACTCCCTCTCCAGATGAGTCATCGTGGGCCTATGAAAAGGCGCCCAGCCGCCGTCCATGAGATGATGCTTTTATTCGAGGGTATTTAAAGTTAATCTCAATCAGGATAATTATAGAGCTTCACTCCAGTGCTCCCTCTCACTTCCTCCCCCACCAGCTTTTCCTCCACTTTCCTCTGCCTTCCCTTTTCGTCTCTTCCCCCCATCGCCGTCTCAGTCCCCTGTGATGCAGCTTTCCGTTTGCATGTACACCACTTTTTCAGCTCCAGGCCTTTGTGCTCCACTTCTCCTCTCTATCTCTGCCGTTCCTCTCATTGTCAAGGCGCCCAAGCTTCCAAAAACTCTGCTCTTCCTCCTTTATTCTCCCTCTTTCTTTCTCTCTCTCTCACTTTTATTCTTTCTGTCTCTTGGTGTGTCAGGATCCCAGTTGTGAACCTGTGAGGTGACTGTTTTCCATATGGTAAACATTTCTACGGGGCCCGAGGATGAACATCAGTACGACCGGAGGGTGTGCCCGCAGCAACGTTTTATTTTCTCTGAAACTGTGAAATGAATTTAGGGATCCCAGGTATCCAGCCATCACAAAACTCACCGGCTTCTCTAAGGTCTAAAAAAAAAAAAAAAAAAAAAAACCCAAGCTAATCGTGCTCCTTTCTCCCTCCCTTTCTCTGTGCTTGGTATAATTTCTTTATATGGTTCTGCTTCACAGTGTCCTGTTCCCTGTTTTCCACCCTTTGTATGGCCCCGAGCTCTGCCAAGCTGTCCAGCAGCTTTGTGCTTCGACCCGCCATGACTAATTCACAAACAAGCAGTTAAACAGCCGTGCAACATCCCATTACACCTGAAATACCCTACCTGTGCTTCTACAGCTGTTTCCAGTGATCTAGCTGCACACGTGAAGCCGTTCATTATCAGTGCCAATAAAGCAGACTGTTCTTTTTATAAAATCGGACTAAAAATTCAGCTCCATTTAGCAAGCTTGTATCTGGCTTACAAATGGTTAAAAAGCCATTCTCAGCATCTCAACACTGAACGGGGTATTTCACAAAGCTGTTTAGCACAGTTGTAGCCAACAGGCAATGTGTTTAACACGTCACGCTCCAAAAACTGCTGTTTATTCCTCGCTTTGGGCGCCTGAAATGCAAATAGTGTGGCTTTTTTCCTCGGCTCTATGTAGAGGAGTCTGTTTAGTTTCAGGTTTTCCTCATGATTTGTTCTCTTAATTATCTGGCTGACATTCACCTTTTTGTCAAGCCTTTGTGAGCACACGTTGTTCCTGCTGGACTGCGTAGAGGTGTGTTAAGCATAGAGTACTTTCTGTGGTGGAGATAAAATATTCACAACGTGAATGGATAGAAGGACCGTTCCTGTGGGAAATCAATGTTTGCCAAAGGTTTGGATGGCGGACGAGGAGATTTACGCTGTCATGGAACTGAGCATCAATGAACTGTACATGCGATTAAAGGACTCATTTTATGAACAAGATCTTTTTTTTTTTTTTTTAACCTGACAGCCAAGTATCTCAATCTGGAAAACAAAACCATCACTTCCCCTCATATCATTATCAGCTCTCTTGAGTGCACCAAAGGAAACGAGGCCAGCGAGAGCATCATTTCTGTATGTCCAGTGAATCTGCATGTATACAGTAAGAAAACCTGGGAGAGTTGCTTGAGATCTATTGTTTATAAAAACGTCTATTTTATCAGTGTGTGTTATCCTGTAGAACCTTTCAAAGCCAAATGTCAGATTGTGTTTGGCAACTTTTCTTAGCAGCTTTGAAACATAAGCCCCCGTCCCCAGTTCCACCCATCTCCACTACAGACATAGTGCTGGTGGCATCATCCAGATATCCAGTCTTGTGACTTTTTAGTAGCGTTCCTGTAGAAAAATTTGGTCTTTCTGTACCATGGAAGTTCAATAAAGACTCAACACTTGCGTTTTAGCTTTGTGTCTATCTGTTTATTTGTGTGCATGTTGAATGAATTCCCCTCGAGGTGGTGCGATTCGCAATGCTTTATGGAGAGGATAAAGTGTGCACTGTGCATTTTAATAGCTACCACTGTATCCTAATCTTTCTCTCCCTGAAGTGAACATTTAGTCCACTACCGTGCATTGATTCTGAACCACAGGCTTGGCATTAAAAAGTCCTGCATGTGCCGATCACGTTTTTTTTTTTTTTTTTTTACGAACGAGGAGCTGCTGAAAAGAGGCGAAGAATAATGTGTCTGAAGCTTCTCCTTATCGTCTCACCATTCCTCTCGCTTCAGAAAGATTAACAGGATGCAAAGCCTGAATTTCCTTTGTGTACAGTTTTTCAAACAAATGTCAATAAAAAAACAAGGAGAGAAATGTCACTCGAGCGTATTGAAATTCTCCACCAGTCTGCTGCATAGCTTGTGTTTCCATTTCCCCTGGGCATTTTAATGATCAAAGTAATTGATTGGCCAGGTTCCACTTGTAAATTTTAACGGCTGTCTAGTTATGAGACAAATACCAGAAGACACCCCGTAGCAATCTGTGATCACGATGGACAAACTCACACTAACGCTGAAGTTGGGTGTAAACTTATGTCTGCGGAGTCACTGCTCACGTGATCAGACCAATAAAAGCACAGTTCACTCTGCTACTGTCTCTCCAAGTGACACATATGGCAGCTACCCCTCCTCTTCTCACAAACACCTTGAGAGGTGTACAGCTGTTAGAATTCACAGCTCTATCTGGTAAAAAATGTAAACCAATGAAGTTCAGTCACACTGACTGAAATTAGCAGCGCTATTTATAAAGGTGTGGAGGGATGCTAGAGGAAGGGAGAATTGACAGGAATGAATAATACAGGATCATAATTTCCCTGTCTGCTGCCGTTTCATTGATGCTGTTGGTCATCTAATTAGCACCATTACTGTGGGTCAGGGTGAGGTTGCAAATTTTTTGAGAAAACAGAATCAAAAGAGCGAGAGATGGGGTGGGCATGATGAAGGAAATTTTGATTGTGATGGAGGTACAAGTGAGGCTGGCAGGCAATTTGAACAGACAACGTTATCATTGAAATAGAAGCTCTGGGCAAAACATACTTGTATGAAATATGAATGCCTTCAGTCGATGTGTTTGCGTGTGTGTGTGTGCGCATGTATGTGTAGCGATGCTGGTGGCGTACAGGGGAAGCCTCAGCTCTATAATACATTAGTCTCTTTGGGGACATGCCCTAATTAATGACTTGACCTCCTAACGGGTAGCCCCCTTGTGCGAGTTAACATTTAGCAGTGCACCCTCCAGAGATGCACTTTAAAGTGCATTTAATAAAAGAAGTGATAGTGACATTAAAGAGACAGTCAAGATACAGAAGTACAGGGCTTATTTTTATTTTCCAACAATTTATATTCTGATTTTATACATGTCTTAACTCATCAGAGAAAAAATACAAAGCAAAACGGAATTAATCAAAAATCAACAGAGGTACGTGCACATACACACACAGGCGTCCAATGCACTGATCCTGTTTCTGGTCAAAGGCAACTGACTTCTACTGCAGACTGTTCTGTCTGCATGTGTTGCACTTGCTGTGTCTGTGTGTGTGTGTCTGTGTGTGTGTGTGTGTGTGCGCGAGTATTTACAGTGACAGTCTGCCGATTAGGGTATTAACAACTGCGACAGTGGATGTCACACCTGTTCCATCCGTCAGCCAGCGCGCGTGTGAGAATCTGTCAAGGTGAGATTTGGTGACAAGCAAAGTTCTTGAGAAGCTTCCTGGTTTTACTGTAGCGAGTGTTTGTGTTGGTGGTATCCATGAACAGTGGTTGCGTTGTTTGTCGTATCTGTCTGTCCATCAACATGTTCATGTGTCCGGTAATTAGTGAGAGTGCCCATCAGTGCCGCTGTTGCCACATCTCAGTTTCTTGTCTTCAGTTGGACTTGGACCAGATCTTCCCGCTGCCACGCAGCCTGGACAGAAAACAGGCAATAAAAAACCCTGAACAGGCGCTTTGTTTGAACCTTATTTAAATAATTTAATGGCTTTTTCTTCTTTCTGCTTGCTCTACTAAATCAACGTATTACTGATGCAACCTGGGTGCAAAATAGTCTTTCTGTTCAAATATCTAACATCAGTATTTAGCATTTTTGCACTGGAACTGATCTCAGTGGAATTTCCTTTTCTTCAAATTAAAACGAATTTGGCAAAGAACCGACTTCTAATAATAACAGCTGCACTATCAGTCGCATCCTTTAAATAGCTTCATAAAGAAATTATGTCAAAACTCATTTTAATTCGAGGGATCAGGTTATGCTATCATTAATTTGGATTTCAAAACATTGAGTGCATCTTCATTTGAAAGAAGTGCGGTGCTGACTGATGGAAATTATAGGGCTCTATGCTTCAACAAAATGTGACAGGCAGCCAGAGAATAATCACTGCTTTCTGTTCACAGAACAACGTAAACAGCAGACAAGCAAAGCATCTCGTCTGATGACTGGAGGGGAAAACAGCTCTTTCAGGAAGCAAACACGCAGGGCATTTGTATATCCAGTGACATTTTACAATACAGGACAGATGTGAAATTAGCCATTGGTAATTGGGCTGGATGGAAGCAGAAGCGAAAAAGAGAGTCCCTCATAACAGGGTAATAGGACTGTTGCAAAACACTGTCGTGCATCTGATAATGAAGCTACTTCATGCAGACACACACACACACACACATACACATACACACAAACTCGCAGCTGGCTTTTTACTGTTTATTGAAAAAATGGAAACATAGTGGTTCTCTGTTGAATTAGCTTTTGCTCTCAACAAGAACAGTGGGCTAATGGCTTTAATTTAGTGTTTGAAGTGTTTTTATAGTGCTATGGTTAATATCAGGGAGATATGTATTTATAAAACATCTTTCAAAAATCATATTTAGAAAGTGCTTTACAGAACAAAAGGAGAAGCAGCAATAAAAGAAACTTAATGGAAAAAACCTCCATATTGTTCCAATTTTGTGACTTGTAGGAATGAATAATATTTCTCCCTTGAAAAAAAAGGCCACATAAAATTCCTTTAAGACTGTACCAACAACATTGAATAAAACATTACTTCAGTGAATTATTCTACATGGCCATGCATTCAATTTGTGAAACATTTAGATATATAAAAAAAGAAAGAAATGCAATTTCTATGCAAACTCCTGGTGGTTCTTTTTGTTTAAAAAGACAATTC